GAGCTGTGGGGAGACCCCAGGGCACTCAGAGCCCTGCAGCATCCCTGCGTGGGGATGCTCGAGGTGGCTCCCACACGGTGCTGCAGGCAGCAAAGGAGGCAGGGCAGGGGCTGAGCTCCTTTTTTTTAGACATTTTTTGATTGCGCCCTGGGGCTTTTCAGCCCCTTTGTCTGCAATCTTCCTGCTGGGGTTTAATGCTTTCACTTCCAGCCTTGTGATCCCGAACGACGTAACGTTTCCTGGCGTCGCGTGGAGCTGGTAATCTTGGAAGAGCCTGGCTTGCTGTTTACATCAGCTTTTGTTTTGGACAACCGAGTCTCCAGAGCTCTTAGCTCAGCGGGGCCGCGTGACGGCCAGGCGGGGCGGCACCACGCGCCCCCTCGGCAGCCAGCTTCGGGGCTGCTCCCCGCCACCCTAAGGTGACAATCGCCTGCCCATCCAGGGCTCCGAGTGTGGCCAGACCCCAGGGGGCTGCTACCGGTCCCTCTTTGTGCTGAGCACCCCCCCTGCACCGATCCTGCCCCCGGATTTTGGGAGAAGCAGCCCTGGTGCCACCCGGTACCGCAGCACCATCGTGCTGGGGCAGCTCCCCATGAAATACCCCATGCAACACCGTCAGCCCTTCCTCCGCTTATTTTAGGGGATTGGGGATTTTGTTTTCATTCCTGGGCTCTGTTTACATTCCTTGTATCCTAGCTTAATTCTTCTGAAACTCACAGAGCGGTAGCGTCCAGCGCATGACACCCTCCCAAAGGTCAGGCTCAAGGAGGCATCTGCTGTAGGGAAAGGCTGGATTTAGGAAAAGATGACCACGTGTGGGGAAAACGCACCAGCGATGTGTAGGTTGACTTCCAAACACAGGGGAAGCAAGGTCAGGTCATCAGTAGGTCAGCTGGGCTTTGCTTTTGGCACTGGAGTCACTGGGGCAAAAAAAAAAAAAGCCTTGAGCTGGGGCTCGGCTGGGATGCGGGGATGGATGCTGGAGTCTGGTGCGTGTAGGATTTTCTTTGTAAGAGGTGAACAAAGCTTTGCTTGATTCAGGAGGGGACTCGGGGTCATCTGGTGCTGCCTCCTGGCTCCGAGCAAGGGCCCGGTCAGCTCACTTTCCTCCTCTCCAGCTTTTTTAGGAAGCCCATCCAAAGCTCTTAGTTTGGGGAAGACACGAGACCTTCCCTTCGGGAACGGCTGAGAAACAGCTTGTGTAATTCCCTGAGCAGCCCCACAGCCAAGTGAACTTGCTGCCTGGGTCGAAGCTGTCCCTGCCTGCTCTCCCCTTGCTTTTTACCAGCTTTCAGGGGCTCTTGGAGAGGCGGTGGCACTTGGAGAGGCAGTGGCACTTGGAAACGCCGACAGTCCCGATGCGAAACCCTGCCTCAGGTGCAGGGCTCAGCTCGGGGGTTTTGCTTCCCCATTAAGGGGAGGGGGTGGCTTTATCCCAGCGGTATCTGGCTGCAGAGCACTGACTGTGCCAGTGTCCATGAGTCTTTTTTTGTGCCTTGGCACTTTTCTTGGCAGGTGCCTGCCTTACAGAGACGATATGAGGGTTTTGGTCACAAACTTCTGGCACCTGGGACGGAATTTTGGGGGGGTTTAAACCAGGGGCTGTTGTCACCACCGAGAGCTGTCGTTTTCCTCTGTTTTCAAGGGAAAGTTTCTCCTTCTCATGCTTTCTCCACCGACTTATTCCTGGCTACTGAGGGCTCAATGTGTCTCACTGAGTTGCAACCCAGCGGGATGCCCGGGTCACCAGCGGGGATGATCCTGCACGCACCTGCGGAGCAAACATCCCTGCCCCGAGGACCCCCTGCCCCTTCTTCACCCCCAGCAAACCCCAAACTGAAGAAACCCATCACAAGGGCTCGCTGAGAGCCAGGCAGAGATCGCAGCACATCTTTTCCTAGCTCTCTTCCAAGCGGCTGTGCGGGGCTGGGGCCGGCTGTTTGTTTCCAGCCCCTCCGCTCTCCGCTGGAGCTGGCTGCTGCGCTGCCAGCAGCTGGGACGTGGGGAAGGGGAAAAACCAAATAAAACTAAAGAAAGTCACCAAAATGCCCCCAAAAGCTTCCGTGGCGCTGTGTTTCTTGCTGTGGAGGGTTTGGGTCCCCCCCTCCCTGCCCCCGTGCTGCTGCAGGCGAGGCTTTTTGGAAGGCGCTGCCTGGGCTGGCCAAAACAGCGCTCGAATCGCAGCGGGATCCAAAATGAAATGGGAAGGAGGCTTTTAATGCGAGCCCAGCTTTTTCCTTTTTGCAGGATTAATATCATATGATGAATACATGAGAATTATCTTCTGTAGGCTTTTTGGATGTCAAAGAGCCCCGCTGCTGCATTTTCTGCTGGAATATCATGGGACGCCCTGGAACAACTTGGCTTTCCTCAAATAACTTTTTTTTATTTTTTTATTTTTTTTTGTTGCGAGGGGGTGAAATACTATTATTTCCTTGTTTTCCCCTATATCACTTCCAGTGACAGCTGCGTGCATTTTGGAAGCATTACATCAATGGTATTGCAGCACAGCTCCTCTCCCCTCGCCCCGTGGTGTCTCTCCCCGAGCGAAGCCGCGTGGCTGGAGGCAGAGGAGGGGGATGCTGATATCCCCCCTCGTGGCAGCACAGCCCTGTCAGTGGCTGCAGTTTCTGCCAGTTCTGCAAAAGATCAGGCCAACGGGACCCCAAACCCCTGCTACCCAAAAGGGTCCAGGCTAATGAGAGACCCTGGGCGGTTTGCAAGCTGCTGGGGGACAGCTGGCAAAGCAAAGTGGAACCCTATCGGATAATGATAGGAGACAAAAAAAGGGCAAAAACCTCTCTGCTTTTCCCAAACTTGGGGTCAGCGTTTGGTGGTGGTCCTCTTTTGGGGACGGGCAGAGGTGGTGGCGTGTCCTCGAGTGCTGCCTGCTCCAGGCACCAGGCCCCTGGCACAAGGGGCCCCGTAAATCCCACCTGGAGCTGGTTTCCAGGTCGGGGAGCTCAAGGCAGGAGCTCTGCTCTCCATGGAGCTTTTTAACTCCTGAATTATTGTGCTTGGGACCCTTCGGCTCTGCGTGGGGAGGGGTGGGTGGTGTAAGGCCCCCGTCCCTTTCTCTGCCCTTCCTTTTCCTGCCCTACCTCTGCCGCCCTCGAGCTGCTGCTCCCAGGGGGCTGCCTCCAAGCCACCGCTCCGAAAACTGCCCCGAGATGCAAATCTCGAGATCACGTGGGCAATTTGTATTTTCTATTTTTCCCCATGGGAAAAAAAAAATAAAAAAAATGGTTTTGCTTTCAGTGGAGTGGAAGGCTGTAGTTCCCAGCAGGACATTTCTCCAGCTGCTCAGAAGCGCTCGCGTGCCCCGAGCGAAGCCGCAAGGGCAGGGGTCCCCCTGGCACCCCGGGTGCTGCAGGAAACTCAAGGCTCAGGAGCAGGGAAAGGTCCCGGGATGCTCCCTACGTCCTGAGGGATTGTTTGTGCTCAGGAGAAGCAGCAATCGCTCCCCCTGCGCTCTGGTTACACCGTGTTGTAAATCTCCTCTGTGCTTACTGCTGGAGCTTTTTAATATTCCCTTCTAGTCCCTAAAAAAAACCCTTTTAACTTTCACCAAAACCAAAAATAACAACAAAAGCCCTTCAGCTCCTGCTACCTCCTGAAATTCTGATTTTTGTTCCAGAGGAAGGCATGGGCGAGACAGCTGGAAAACGTAGTTAGGACTGAAAATCTCCAATTTTGTCAAAACTTTTTGCTGGGGGAAGGGGTGCTACACAAACACGCGGCGGAGCATCCGCATCTCCGAGACGCTTTGGATCCTACTGCTGCTTTGATCTCTGTTCCAGACATGTGTCCTCTCCCGCCTGGAGACCCAAAACGTATCGACCCAGGAGGGAAGGGGGGGAATGGAGAGGAGCTGGGTCTCCCAGGCGCTCCCTCTCATCCAGGAGAGTGCCTCGAGCGGAGCTGATCTTCCTCCTGCAGCCCCAACCCATCTGACCGACTCCATAGGCAGAGATGTTAAAGTTTGGACCCGTTTCTAAAGGTCTTCCCTCTCAAGTTTGGGGTAGGAGGGGCAGAAATATACCTGGGACCTTTGCTGGCTCCTCTGCGTGGCCAAGCAGAGAGTTGGCAGGGCGCAGCTGCAGCCCCCAGACTTTTTCTCCTCTCCCAGCAGTGATGTTGGGCTCGGGGCTTGGTCCGTGCAGGTGGCACCGGCACGCTCGGGGTGTTCCTTTAGCACAGAGGGCTTGGAGGAAAGGTTAGAAAGGATCTCCAGGGTCATGTCTGCTCTGAAAATAAACAAAAAATTGTATTTATCTTTCCCACTGGGAAAAGGGAGGGCACATAGCAAGGGGTTGCCTCCACAGTGGAGCCCCCCAGGCTGCTTCCACCCCAGCTAGGAGCAAGGTTTGGGCATGCTGGGGCTCTGGGGTCTGGTCCACAGGTGCTCAGGGTTGTGTCCCAGCCCCAAAACCCTGCTGTGGGGGCAGCTGAGCTCCTGCTGGAGCTGCCCTGGGGTGCCTCCTCCAAAGGGTGTCCCCATATCAGGGAGGAAGAGGATGGAAGGAGAAAATCCTGCCCTGGGATGATGCTGTTGTGCATCAGAGGTTTTGGGTTGGAGGTGACGGGGCCCTAAATGACATCTCATGGCTGTCGGGGGGGGCATTAGGAATCTGGTCTAAGGGCTGTGGGTATTTGGAGCACCCCATTGTGCATGGGGCCAGCCCTGGCAGCGGGGAAGAAAACACTCATTAGCACCTTGAATTTTGGTGGCACTGGGGGAGAGGTGGCACCCACCCAGCACTGCCACCCGCCACCACCAGTGGCACCACGCAGGCTTCCCACCACCACCCTCCCATCACGGTGAGGGCACCCAAGGGACCCCAACGGGTGCTGTGGGGCCGGCACGGCCACGGGGCCACGTGTCCGAGCCAGCAGAGCCCCAGCACGGAGCTGATCCCTAAAGGGTGCCACGGCTGCACGCGGGCTGTCCCCTCTGCCGTCCTCTCCTGCTGTACCTCCTACAAGTCCCGCTCGTCCCTCCCACTCCCTCCCAATGCTCTCCTTCTGTCAGGGAGCCGGGGAAGGCTGGGGATAAGGAAAAGGTTTTCTGAGCAGGGCTACCAGTCTGGCTGGGTGCCTCCGGCGGATGCTCGGGGCCGGGGAGCGGGGCCCCCCGTGCTCCCATGGACCTTCCCAGTGGGCTGCTCCTCGCCTGCTCCCTCTGCCTCTTACCCGGTAAGCTCCCGTTCCCTTCCCCACGGCTGCTGCCAGCGACGGGGAAATACCTTCTGCTTTTTTTAGGCGAGGAGGGAAAGGTGCCTGGGAATGCCCAGGCTTAATGAGAAAAGTCAGGAGCAGGAGGGAGGGAGCGAGCCGGGCGCCTTCAAGGCAGGCGAAGAGGAGTTGAAGGGGATGAAGGGCTTTGATGGGCTCCTGGGACGGAGCGGGGAGCGCTGCCTTCCTCCCAGCGCTGGGCTGCAGGCACGAGCAGATTTGGAAGATTATTTGGAAGTGTTCTGGAGCATGGGACGGAGGGGAAAAAAGCCCCCCCAGACAGCCCGACCCTCTTAGGCAGGGTTAATTTTCGCACCCCTCAGGTGATTTGTCCCGCCGCACGTGAGGGGTCAGAGCAAAAGAGAAGTGCTTGGCTTTGAACAAGCCACGAGGGGCTTTCTTTGGGTCAATATTTGGCTGAAGGATGTGCTCTCGCAGCCTCCCCCTGCTCGGCTCGGTGCGCAGCGGGACGAGCACAACCAGAGGTGGGAGCAGAGCTCGGCGTCTCGCTGGCCCCTCGCCGGACGGGTGCTGGGAGCAGGAGGCTCCGTTTGGGCTCTGCCCACGGCTGACATCCTCCCAGGCTGGCAGCAGCGAGGCTGGGACCTCTCTCAGCTTTAAAGTGAAAAAAAAAAGAAGAGCTGGTTACCGCTACCAGGAGCTCCGCCGCCCGCTAACGCACCCCCGGCAGCCAGCAGCGCCGAGCACTAATGCCACTGTAAACATTTCTAAACATCCTGGTGGAAAAGCACGCCAGAATTTTTTTTTTTCTTTTTTTTTTTTTCTTTTTTTTTTCCCTTTTCTAATTGCACTGTTGCTCGATCGTCTGAAGCCAGCCGCGGCGGAGCTGCCTTTCTTTGCCTAATGGGGAACATGTGTGCGCGCCTCGCATGGCGGCGGGCGAGCGGGGCTGCCCGCGGGGGGCTGCGGGGCTGCCGGGGCCGTGCTTACGTGGGCAGCAGCCCCTCCAAAAGCTCCCCTGCAAGAACAAAACCCCTCTGGGTGAATGTTTTTGCCCACGGGGTTTTGGCACACCCGCGGGTGACGGTGCTGCTCCACGAGCCCTGTGCCGGTGGCAAGGGTTAGGGCGCAGTTTGCAGTGCGCCGTGGTGGTCCCCGTGCTTTGGGATGCTTTGTGGCTGTGGGGTGGGATATTTTGTTTCACCGGCTGAACTCAAAGCAAGTTTGGGACACGCGTGGGAGGCCCTGGCACCGGGATGGGACATGTGGCCTCGGGGACGGTCCCTTTGCTGTGTGGGCAGCCCCCGCGTGTCCTGGAGCGTGCCATGGTCTGCAAGCCATTTTCCCAGGCTGGGAGTCCCCGGAGGCACTGCGATGTCTGGGCACAATTGGGGGACAAACCCAGCTGTCCCTAAGGTCCAGGCCAGCTCCTCTCCCCCGGGGCTTTGGGGTGCAGCTCTGAATTAGGAGAGCCCAGCCAAGGGACTTGCTGAAACAAACGCCTCCCAGCAGCAGCCCTCAGGGGTCAGATCGCAGGGAAGATGTGACCCACGGCCATGGGGACACGGTGGCTGCCCTGGGATGACTTCCCTTGTCCCACTCCATGCAGCTCTTTTCCTTCCTTAGCTGCTTTATCCAGACATGGGGGGTCTGTTGGTTCCCCACCAGAGGGTCACCGAGCAGTAAAAGCGCTCTGCTTGCTCCATGCGGGGGGCTTGGGATGGCCCAGGTGGGTTAAAAAGGGACGCCCCCAGTTCTGCCTGGGGCTGGGAACTAAATTCTGGATGGCCCCAAGAGCAGTGCAGGGACATCCCACACCTAACATCCTCCATCCCTAGCAGAGATTTGGCCAGGGAGGGTCCATAGTATCCAAACCCCCGAGCAGCCGTGGTGCCTTTGGCTGCAGGACACGCTGCAAACGAGCAATCAACGCATTCCTTAACGTGCCCGGCTGCTATTTAAGCACTCAGGGCAGCTCCTCCCCGGCTTTTTGGGGGCCAGAGAGCTGGGACGGTGGAAGCACGAGGTACTTGTGTAGCTGCTGCCCCAGGGCTGTTTGGTCGGGCCTCTGTGGGTAACCAGGAATGTCACAGCACACGCGGCCGCGATGACTGATCTCCTGGTCATCTCCACTATTTCCCTGGCTCTCCGTCCGCAGCCTCGGCAGCCACCAAACCCCATTTGTTTCCTAATAGCTGATGACAAATGCTGGCTTCGAGATAGCGACCTGGGGAGGAATTTGGTGCTTTTTCAGCATTTCGGTCTGCAAAGAGAGCGCGGTAGGGGCTGAGGCTTAGAGGGATGCCTGGGAACATCTGGTCCGCCCTGCTCCTCCTTGGGGCCTGCTAGCTTTTGCCCAAATACCCCATATCAAGCTCAAAGGCTTTTCTAAGGCAATCCTAGCTATAAAAATAAACAACGTGTGTGACAGATGGGTTGCAGAGGAGCATCCCAAGCTGCCAAAGCCCACATGGCAATGGGGACCCATCCCAGGTGCCTGGCTGAACGTGGCCAGCAGCCCTGGGGACATGGGGTGGTGGGGGTCACCCCTATGTGGTGGCTCTCGGTGGTGATGGCGGGGTCTTTGGACGCACTGTCCCACCGCAGGGGTTGCATCTCCCACGTGGGTGTGAGTGGTGAGGAAGGGAGGGTTGCAAGGACAGCTCTTGGGCACCAGAGCCACAGCCTTCGCCCCACGATGCCTCCGTCTCGAGCCATGAAAACACCAGGTTTGGGTTTAGGGTCACATCGTGCTGTTCTGCCTGCGGTCAGATATAAAATCAAATTAAATTAAAATGAAATCCTTCCGGCAGCTCTGCTGCCCTGCTCAGGTCTCCTCAAATCACCAAGGGTTGGAGCAAAGCAACCAGCTAAAGCCACCAGCCCCTTATGGCAGCAGAACCAACCCCAAGGCACAGGGAGGACTTGTTTTTATTCTTTTTTTGGCAGGAAAGGTGCCTTGAACTCCCAGTATTGTTTCCCAATTGTGTTGGTTTTTGTTTTTCCTTTTCAATATTTGACCTGACAGGAATCAAAGGTTTGGCCTCGGCCGAAGTTCCACTTCGGAGAGGAGGTATTTGAGGCTTCCTGCCTTGGCACCATCGCAAGCAAAACATGTGGGTTTTGGTCACTTATTTATGACAGTGAAGTCACTCCTGACAAGAAAACGAGACTGAGTTCTCCGGGTTGCTAAGTCTCCTTGACAGCCTTTCAAAAAGATCCCATTAATTTAAGACGGTTTAAATTCTGTCCGATTTTTTTTGTCTTTCTGCCTCGAATGCACCCACGCCAATTCCTTCCCTCCTGTGCCCAAAATCCAGGGGCTTTGCCGTCCGTTGTCTGCAAACTTTCCTCCCGATCTCTTCATTTCTCTGCCCTCTACCTGCCACCAGCACGGGGCATTGCAGCCCTCAGAGCCCCCTCTCTGCAATTTCGGGATCCGATGGATTTCTGCTATGGGATCGGGCCAAGGATGGCTGCAGCCCCTTATGCCCACACGGGCTTTATTTCTGGTTAAAAATGAGCATTTGGGTACTTTTAAAGAGAAGGGACCAGCAGGCTGGAGCCCACGCCTGGCCCCTCAATTTGCATTGTGCTGTCCTTTGGGGAGGCAGCCAAGCCAAAAGGGGTGGGAAATTGCTTTTTTCTTCACATTTTCCACCTGCATTAATTTGCTCATCTCACGCATATCCCTGGTTTAGAGACCTTTGCATCTAATAAGCCATTAATTCTCTTTTTGTGTGTGTGTGTTGTGTTTTCTTTTGTTGTTTTTGTTTTTGTTTTTGTTTTGCCCCTCTAAGATGCCTTTTGCAAGCAATTTGGTTGCATTTTACTGCTCCAGGAGGCAAGGAGCCGTGGGATGGGCATCCCCAACTTGCCAAAGACATCTGCTTTCCCGTCAGCTAGGCTTACCTAGGAAAATGTCTTTTGGGGTCAAATTTGGAGAAACTCTGCAAAAATCAGGGGAAAACCTGTGATATTCTCTGTGACACTTGTTCTGCTCGCTGCAGATGCCTCTGCATCACCTGGAATTGAGCCTTGCTGGCTGGTGCTTGAAATGCCCCCGAGCACCCTCCTCTAGGAAGTCCCCTGTGCCCCTCCGTGTCCCCCCATGTCCCCTGTGCCCCCTGTGCCCCCCTGTGGCCCCCGTGATGCCCCATCTGCCCTGTCCCCCCCCGTACCCTCTTTGCCCATCGCCTCTCCCCATGGCCAGAACGCAATTTCGCGATGCTGCCACTGGGTAATGGTTGACTCAGAGGCCGTTTTAATTTGTTTTGCAATGTTAAATAAGGTCAATCTACCACAAAATGTGCTGGCTCTGATCTCCCCCGTCTCCTTTTTTCCCCTTGCTTTCTAGAATTTCTTTTTGTAGGACTTTAAAGCTTCTTACCTCAGCTCTCCTTGGCGAGACTCTACTTCTCTCTGTTTACCGAGCCAACGTCGCCAATCTGTTTCTATGACTGCAAAAAAAAAAAATAAACCCTCAGGTTTATTCCTAACATTCCTACCTACAAAAGCACTTTCCACCCTGAACTTTCTGCCTGGGAAGCGACATTCCCAGCCTCTCCTGTTGACATCCCCTTGATTCCCACACAAATACCAAACGTGAGCCTCCTGCTGCCTTTAAAACCGTCCTTGCCGTGAGCATCCCTGAGGCAAACCTAAAACCACCCCGTCCAGCTGGTGAGGTGCCCCAGAGCTGCTGTGATGGGGTCAAACCTCCCCCGTGTCTCTTAGGGCCCTCCTGGGACCCGATAGGCACTGTGGGGAGCAGCATTCAGGGAAAGGTTGGGGCTGGAGGCTTCTTTGGAGACTTTTGGGCCCAAAACAGCATGAACGGCCCCGTGGATGGAGGCTCCGCACCCCTCAGGATGACCCCTGTGGGGTCTGGCCTCCCGCACCATAAAAGCGCTTTCCCCCAGCACCTCAGCACCCTGCCTGATGGGATCCTTCTCCTCTCTCCCCAGGGTTCAGCGACACCTTCAACATCGACACCAAGAGGCCCAAAATCATAGCGGGCTCTAAGGACGCCTATTTTGGCTACACGGTGCAGCAGCACGACATCGGGGGCAAGAAATGGTGAGTGAGCCCCAAAAAGGGGGGGTTTACAGCAACCTACGGGAATGCTGAGGATCTCCTGCTCTTCCTGACCACCTTTTTGGGGTTGGCAGAGCCCAAGCCTGGCAGGAAAGCGAGATTTGGTGCTGGTGGTGCTGGGGCCAAGCTGGTGTGCTTGGAGCAGGGCTTGCAGGTGCCGTGAGGAGCCGCCCCGGGCAGGTTCACGGCTCCCTGGCTCCAGCACTTGCTGGAAACCCGTCGGGGTTTTGGGCTGAGGCCATCCCTTTTTATAGAGTTTCCAAGAAGTCAGGTCTGCAGAAGCGATCAGAGCCGCCTGCGGCTGTCGGGGGTGCGGGGTGAAGCTGGGATGGGTTTTGCTCAGGGTTTTGCTTGGGTTTGGGGTTTCTGGGGCATTGTGCTGCTCGCTAAGGTGCTGGGGGTGTGAAGTGGCCACCCAGTGAGGCTGGGGGGACACTGGGTGCTCTCCAAGGTCACAGCCAGGTACTACAGCCAAAAGCAGACAAAACACCCCAAAACTATCACCACCAAGCTGAATGGTCTGCCCCATGGGTGCCCTACAGCCAGGCTCAGGGCAAAAAGTGAGCCTGGCATTAATGCTGATCAAGTTTTCGTTTGTGGTCTCATTCCGTGTGATGCTGGAGCAGGTGCCCCCGTAGGCACAGCTGCTTTGAGCCCAAAGGAATCGTTTCTTAGCCCATTTTCTGGCCCCAAACCCTCACGGTCTTTCTTTACTGCAACCCAAATGCTGTGCTGGTGCGCAGAGGTGCAGCGGATGGCTCTCAGCGTGCTGGTAGGGCCAGGAAAGGAGGCAGAACCTTGCCAAAAATCGCAGGGTGGCTTCTCAGGGCACACCAGCACAGCCTGCTGCCTCCATCCTCATCCTCCTGCCCACAAAGGGTGGGGACCCCCTCTCCAAAAGTGCTCGTGTACGCAGCTCCGGCATACACGAGCCTCCCATTTGCACCAGGTTCTGCTGTGAAATATCTCCTCCCAGGAGCAGATCCCAAACCCCAGCTCAGTGGGTTTTGAGCTGCCCCCACCAGAGGCTCTGGCCCTGTGCTACCCAGGTTAGGCTGAGCCTGGGAAATGCAGATGGGAGCCCGCAGTTCTCCGAAGGAGAGAAGGAACAGGAACCGTGTGTCCCTGCCATCACATTCCTACCGCTTCTGCTGCTAGAAAACATCATTTCCGTATCACATTTCATCCATCAAATGCCAAAAAAACCTTGGCGGAGAGCAGCACAACCCAACGAGGATGGCACATGGGTGTGCTACTGCTTGGTGCTCCCCGAGCAATGAGCCAGCATCCGTCTGCGCAGGACATCGGTGCCACAGAGGAAGACAAAAGGGTCCTGGCATGGCCAGGTGCCACCACACTGCTGTGAGCAGCAGGGAGTGATGAGATCTGGATTTGGCATCTCCTGCATCTCCCCTACCAACTGTTGGCCAGGGCAGAGCTGGAGCTTTTGTCCTCTGTTGGTTCCTCTGCATGCAAAAATGGATGCTCACCGCCCTGAGTAAGCGTAGGTATCTCCATAAATACAGAGTGCATCACAGCACGCAATTACACGGTATAGGATGTCTGTTAAATGTGTACATAGTTAAAAACTGCAGCCACCATGACTCACTCTGGTTAAAGGATAAATGACTGAACAAACAAAACGTCTGGAGTATAAACCGAGGACGTAGAGAAGGAGCAGCTCCGCCACATGATGGTAATTGCGCAGAGCTCAGGAGCTGCCAGAAAGCAGAAGAAAAGGGGATGATAAGACGAAACCCCAGCTGCTAGCAAGGCAGAAGCCAGGCAAGCATCATCGAATATTGGCCCCGAGGAGTTCAGCAAAACCCCAAAAAGTACAGCAGAGCTCGGAGGAGCTGAATGGCCATCCCAGAAACGTGGCTGCTGCCGGAGGGATTGCTCCAACAACACGCGGGGAGCCGGCTGCCAAATACCAAGTGTGGAATCCGAGGACTTTGGCACCTCCGCTCCGGTCTGAACCATTTAATGCTGCTTTTGGCCAGCGTGGAGGGCTTCAGAAGGATTTCAAAGCAGCTTCTATATGTGTGTGTGTGAGCGTACAGGCTATTTGTGTGTACGGACGCACACACACACATATAACGTTCTGCAGGAGTATTTTTCGCTGTGGCTATTTCTCTTTCTCCAGCCTTTCAGGAGGGAGCCAGATAGCTTGCACGTGGGGGCTATAACTGCAGCCCTGATAGTGGAAAACCTGGGAGGAAAGAATTCGGATTATTAAACTCCAGGGGAAAAAAAGCACTTGGAAATTTATTGCTCTAACAGCTCGCCACTTCGGGGGGTCGCTTCTCCTGCTGGCAGTCAGCGGCTGACTTTCAGACCTCCCCCTCGCCGCTTTCTCTCCCTTTTTCATCGAGCAGGAGGTGCGATCTGTGATTTTTCCAAGTATGTGAATGGAAAAAAAAAGGGCAGCTGGCTACCGAAACTCACCCAGACGTGCAACACGGTGGCAAGAACCCAGTGCTCCTGCTGCACCTGGGGCCAAATTCTGCCTGGAGTGAAGGGGTTTGAGCATCCCGGCACCATGGTGCTGGTTCCCCAGGTGGCACCATGGTTCCAGGGTGATCTGAGCTCCCCCAGACTGCCATGAGCAGGGTGAAGCAGCCTGGCAGAAGCTTGGGTTGAAGAAGATGGAGGAGTTTTAAGGGCAGAGGTGACGGTGGTGGTGTCCCAAAGGGCCTGGAGCTGCTCCTCTGCTCCACTCGCATCCATTCAGATTTGGGGGTCAGGGGGTCAAACAAATCAGAATCACCTGGAGTTCGGGGTGAAACATTCTTAGAAGTCCAAGATCAGGGGGAAAAGAGGGAAAAAGGGGAAAAGTTTCTCTCCTTCTTTCACCTCCCCTCTCCTGTTGGCTTCTTTCGACTCCCCACCATCCTGGCCTTGGTGTCACTCCCCAGGGAGGGAGAACTCCCTGCTCTGCTCACGTGCTGACTCTTGTGCTGCCCTGGAAGCTTTTCCAGCCCTTTTCTTGCAGGCTGTGCCACCAGGTATCTCAGATTAGCCCCCCGCTTGCTCTGTGCCCCAGATGGAGTGGGGATGGGTCCCCATGCTGGCAGGACAAGGGCTGGGGAGGGCACAGTTTTTTTGGGGAGCAGCCCAAGCAGTAGTGGTGCACTTCACCACCTGAGATGGATTGCTGACAGCAAGACCAATGCCAGGCTGAAAGCCCAGCCATCACCCCCAGCTTTCCATCCCCACCTTTCCCATCCAAATAAAAAATTCAGGAATAGGAGGCAGAGGCTGGGCTGTGCCAGAGCATCACCAGGGCCCTGCACCAGCTTGTGTCTGCGTGCTGCACGTTTCCAGCTATGCAAAGAAAAAATAAAGATGCTTGAGGAAAATTCGCTGTGGAAGGAAAGCCCTGGGAATAAACATCCATTAGCCTTCAGAAGCCATAAAAATAATAAATACAGCGTTCCCGAGCTGGCTGGGGCCAGGGCTTCAATGATGCTGCTGGCAAGATGGCATCACCCAGGAGAGCATCCCCAGCTGCTGGAGCTCGTGCAGCCCCATCCTCGCTGTGCAGCAGCACCAGGAGGGTGCTGAGAAGCCTGGGTGCAGGATTTGGCCCCTCAACCACAGCAGGGGACCCCCGTGGTTAAACCCCCCCCGGGTGCCCGGCAGCTCCAGGCACAGACGTGACGTTTCCAGTCCGAGCACGACCGAAGGGAGCAGGAGGAGGGAGAGGAGCGAAAAGTCTGCTCGGTGGATTTCGAGCTGTAATTGTGCTGATCTGGAAAAACAGTTAAAGGGTTTGCTATTTCCCTACTACTGCAAGGCTTTCTTGGCTGCAATTCTCCTGTGGTTTGGCCGGTACCCGAGCGCTGGGATTATTTTGGTGAAAGGGTACATAGCTGCAGAGCATTCCTTCGGCGCGGGGACCGTGTCTGCTCCCGGCTCTCCCTCCCACCACGCCAGGGCTGGGGATGCACCACGGCCCCGCTCTTCCCTTTTCCCATCTCCCATGCTCCATGGTCGTCCCCTCTTTGGTCTTATTATGGGTGTAATTCCGGGGGATTTAGCTGGGAATCCCAGGGGCTCTGTTACCAGCATCATGGGCTTTTTGGGGCCGTTCCCCACTGCCTGGCACCGAGGAGGACAGGGGACATCTGACATCCTCGGGGCACATCTTCCTTGCCATGAAGCAGCACAGGTTGTCATCAGCTCCAGGGCTGGTGAGCATCAGCTCTAAGGTTAGGCTCTTCAGCTTTCATTTATTTTTTTTTTAAGAAAGATTTTGGCCTAAGCAGGAAATTAGACATCATTTCCCACCCCACAGCTGCAGCGCTCCGCATGCTCTCACAGCCCTCCAGGAATCAGGATGGAGAAAAAGTGAGGCTGGAGGTCTTTTGCAGCAGATCTGTATGAATTAGAGGGGTGTTGCTCCTTCCCAGCTCATATTGCTCGACCATGACAAGGTTTCTGTGGTCACGTCTTTGTTATTTAGGGTCGGGTGGTCGCAGAGCACCGCAGGTTAGCGGGATGGAGCCGGTGACCTATTGGGGTGTGGGAACCCCCACGAACACCATCAGCTGGTGATGATGGGCAATTTGGGAAAGCGAGAGGTACCTGGCAAGGTTGGAGATTGGGGTTTGCTTTGGAAACCCCAAGCAGAAAGGCAGAAATCAAACGGGTCCGGATGAACAGAGTGCCTGGTGCTGACAAAAAGCATCAACCAGTGCTGGAAACCCACAGCCCAGGCAAGAACCGCCGAGGGGCCTTGCCTGTAAACACCTCTGGGTTACGATATCCCTAAGTAAAAGGGAAAAAATGACACCGAGAAAATAAGAAAGTATCATTATTTCTAACCACACTATTCTGCGAGCTCCTCGGCCGTGTTCTGCAGCACGCCCGTCGTGTGCTATTTTAGGGAGAGCTCCGGGAGCTGCGCTCACTGCGACGGCTACGGGGTTCCTATGGCAGAATTGGTGCATCCCTCACCTCGGCCACTGCCTGCCTTGGGCTCTGGTCCCTTGGTCCCGTGTCCTGGTGGTGTCCCCTTCCCGTTACGTGGGTGCTGGATGGATGGAGGCAGCCCCCTGGGTCCGTGGGGAGCGTTCGGAGCCGCGGGATGGGGCTGTGCAATTCGGAGCCTCCTGGCTCGACCTGAGCAGCTGGTTAAATTACAGCTGTGTTTCTGTTTTGTTTTGCAATGAGAGGGTTTGTTGTACAGCAGGGAAAACCCCGATCGGCCCGTAGGAAAATAACCACCGAGGGTGTCTGTGCCCATCGGTGGCAGGACGGCTTCCCACTGGCTGTCCCCGTGCAGGAGGTGGCCAGGAGGGGACAGGGACAAAGCTCGTGTCCAGGAGCAGGTCTGGGTCTGGTCTCTGTTGGGCTGGTGTGTCCCAAACCCCAAACCTCAGAGCAAGGAAGCACCATGTTTTGGGAGAGAACCCCCTTGAAACCCTCAAACCGTGGGGACGGAGCTCTGCAACTGCTCTGCTGTGTGTTAACTGGGGGCTCTGAAGCCAGGAATGCTTCTGAGGGACGATTCAGGAGGCGTTCAATGGACAGAGGAGTCTTGCAAAGGGTGTGACATTCCCCTGCGGCCACTGCTAGCTCAGCCCTGAGCTGCTGGTGGCCATCCTCACCCTGAGAGCCCCCTGCTCCTGCCCACGCCGTGCGATGGGACAGTCACCACACGAGGGGCTGGATGGCATCGCTGGTGTCCCAAAATCAAGGCTGTGGCCACGGGCTGGCAGCACGCTTTGCTAGAGCCAGGTCTAGGACTTGGTTCCAGGTCCTGTGTCCTCCCATGCCGTGATCCCTCTGCCGGCTCTGCCTCCCCCTGGACTCCCACCAGCTCTTTATTTTTATTTTTTTTTTTCTTCCACCCTTGCCAATGTAGAGAAAAACATCTCGAAGTCCATTCCCCTGCCACGTCCTGGCCAAGGAGCCACAAAGCAATTTAAAGTTTTCCACAGCTGAGCTCTCCTTTTCCTGAACCTCCTTAATCACTTCTTCATCCAGGCCCATCTTGAATAAATTAACTACAAGCGAATTTGCCTTGCAGGAGATTAAGTGTCCCATTGATTGAAAAATCCTGTGAAAAGCATAGTTTCTTCTCCATTCCTCCCTAATCCCTGCATTCCCGGATCACCAGCTAGACATACCTTCTTTTCCTGACTCCTTTCCATTTAATCAAAACATTTTGGGTCTCCAAATGAGCTTTGCAACCTCTCCGCCGTGCGCGCAGAGAGCCCGGTGAGCAGGGGGATCGCTGCCTGAAGAAGCCAGGAGCTGGCAGGGTGAAGAAAGTCTCGGGGGTGTCTCAGGCATCCCTAATTTGGGGTGCACAGCACCAGTGGTGACTGCACCTCTCTGCTGCCTGGAGGTGACCTGAGCCTGGGTGAAGGTGCTGGGGGACACAGCTCGGGGCAGGTTGGCCCGCGGTGCAAGCAGGAGGGCAGGCGAGGCAGGGACCAGCAGCACATTATGGGCAACAGGCAGAAATTAAAAAATTATGAACTAGAGATGGATAAATGAAGAGAAATAGGGACCGTGCAGGTCAAGCAGAACCATGGGGGTGAGATCTGGGGGCGTCACAAGGTGACCTGGTGGTGGTGGTGCCCCCTCCTTGGGAGACGACGTGGCCACACGTGGTGCTGGAGCCTGGGGCTGAGGGATGAGGCTGAAGGGATGAGGATGAAGGGATGAGGATGAAGGGATGAGGATGAAGGGATGAGGATGAAGGTTGAGGCTGAAGATTTTCAACAAATCCCCCGGGGAAAGGATGGATTCTCCAGCACTCAACGCCTTCAAAGCATGGATGGATGGTTTTGGGGGAGATGTCCTCCAGCCAAGCATCCTTTGCTGGGTTCACTACTGAGACAGCAGGCGTGAATTAATGCCCGTGGCACAGGGAATTTCACCAGATAATTGGGCTAAGGGGGAAAAAAAAAAGCACAATGACTCGGTACCAGGTTTTCTAGACACCAAAGTGCTGCAGCCTCCCGGGGTCTGTGCTGCTCTGCTGGCCTAGAAGCAGGGCACTGTACAAGCCACTGACATTCACGTGAGACAAAACCATTTAAAACAGTGCAAAAAAAAACCTGAAAATTCCCAATTTGTCTTTGATGCTTCGTTTTGGTGCTTGAGGTGGGCCTGGCACAGCCTGCAGCCCCAGCCCCAGCCGCCCCAGCGCGCAGCTCCTGCAGGACCAGCAGGAGCTCAGCCCCTGCTCCTCTTCCTGCACTGGCAGAGCAGATGCTCCTCAGGCATTTCCACTGACATCTTGGTTTTCCGTTTTTTTTCCCAGGATAAAAGTTAAAAATATGTCCTCAGACATGTTGCTCTGAGCGGTCTGCGCGCTTCACATTTAATTCCTTTAATTTTTTTTTTGCTTTTGTTTTCCCCATAAGGAGCGCATGAAAAAGGAAGGCGAGGGAGGGCTTGTTTGGTTCTTATTTTCTTTTAAATCTTCCTCCATTAGCCAAACCATGATGCAAGGCCTGCTGCTGGGGTCTCTGCAAGGACCGGGGGCTGCAACCCTCGAGGGAGGACAAGGGGGGAAGATTTCGGGTGCATATGGGGAGGGGGCCGGCTCCCTGCGGATGCTCAGGATGCTCTCATTAGATTTGGGTCATTTGGGATGAGACCAAGCAAACAAACACAAAAAAAAAAAAAAGAAGCAAAAAATAAAAATATTTAGACCACACGTTTCTAAACCACGAAATAAAGGAATAAAGGAGGGGGTCTGTAACCTGCGAGCTGGTGCAATCAGCAGCAGCAGCACTGCCAGCCAGATTTGGGAAACCTTTTCCCAGCCCTGCAGCCAGCGCCGTCACCTTCCCAACAGCTGGAAAAATCTTCCCCTGAGCTGCCAACTTTCCATGGGAATTTGACAGCTTCAGCTACTCAATCATTTCAATTTAACCCAAAAGGGAAAACAATGCCATTGTCTTGGGGAGACAAAAAATTCTGCGAGCTTCACAGCCCCTTCATGCATTTCTGCTGCGTTTGTGGCAGCGGCTGTAAATATTTGGGCTTTTTTTTGAGCCCCGAGGCCTGACGTAGGGCTGGGGAATGGGTGGAATGGGCTGCTGTGCAGTCGTCATCGTCTCGCGTTTTACAGAGCTGCTTCGTCCTCGTAAAGGCTGCAGTTGGGTGCTGCTGAGCGGATTAATGGGTGGTGGGACACTGTTAATGAGGGAAGGAGAATTACTGGGGGATTCCCAGCTTGGCATTTATTATGGTGGGGTAATCTGGGGGAGCACAAATCCTGCTTGTGTTAAATCCTTGGGAAACAAAGAGTGGAAAACACCATCCTTTGAGGTACCTCAACTTTTTTTCCTTCCCACCTTCAAGGTTTTATTTTTCCCTCCTCGCCCCCAATATCTTTTCACATCTGCTGCCATCCCCCTTTCTGACCGTGAGCATCAATCATGTGGCAACGGCAGGGACACACCAGCAACCTCCTCGTCCAGGTCCAGGGGCAGGCACCGGATCTGCCCGAGCCTCTGGATGCTACCGGGGACGGTTCCAGATGGTTGTTATTTTACCCTAATTAGTCTCCTCGTCAGCAGCGAAGCTGTAAGACAGGAAGTATTTCCATGAGAATCCTTAAACGCTTCTTCGATTTTGGAGGTTTTCAGTTGGCGAGCGATCCCGTTTTATAGCGATGGGATAAAAGGACGAGTGTTCAGTGTCTTTGTAGAAGCAGTGCTTAAAAAAAGAAAAGAAAAGAAAAAAAAAAAAGGCCGTTTCTGGCCTAACAGGGAACATCTGTGCTGGGAGCGGTCGCTTCGCCAGCTGTTGTGTAGGGCAACCCAGAACAAAAGAGGTCCTGTTTGTTCAGCGATCCGGACAGGGACGGCTGCATCCACCAATCGGGCTGTAAAATCAAAACGCAGTGGACTGGGTTTATTTTGGGCTAACACGTCGGGAGCAGGAGATGCCAGAAACCCGCGGTTCGGGGTATTTTTGAACTAGCCTGGAAGGGACGGCCAAATTCCTCGGGTCCTGCTCTCCTCCGCCTTCGGTTTGCTGCTTTCGACTGGTCTGCTCAAGTCCACAGGAAAAAGTGAGAAAAATGCTCGCAATGTCCCAGATACATCCCACACCCTCGCTGGCTCTTTGTGCTTTTATCAGCTGATAAACCTCGGCTTATTTTGAAGTGCAGACGGGTGCCAGCTCCTCGCCTGCAGACTGCTGACCCCACCACCAGCTCCGGGCTGTTCGCTAGCGAGCAACCCCAGCTTGGTGCAAAAGTCCTAAAAATTCACATTTTTAGCTTTTTAGTGGGGAAAATTCCCCACGGACCCCAGCGTGAGCTACAACTGCCTATTGCTTTGGGTATCTCGGCAGGAACTAGGATTCCTTGGCACACATACATGCCCCGAAGGTGGTCCCAGCAGTGGGAAGTGCCACCTTGGGGACCTCGGGTGGATGCTGAGGGCATCGGTGCTGGTCCTGCTGCCTGTGCCAGCTGTGAAAATGCATCGAGAGGAGGGGACAAGGGGGTCCTCTGCTCCTCCCCGTGCTGCAGATGGGTTTGCAGACCTCGTAACCCCATAACCTGATGGGTTTTGCTTCCAAGCGAGTCATCTGGGGTCGGGGGCTGGAGCTAGGTGATCTTTAAGGTCCCTTCCAACCCAATCCATGCTATGATTCCATGATCCATCCGGCCAGCTTGGAGGGTCCCCTGGGGCTGGTGGGGACGGGGTTTCACCCTGCAAGAGGCAAGAGACGAGAGGGTCGGGACCCCATCCCTGCAGGAACACGTTCTGTTTTCTGAAGGCCACTGACGGGCTCCTCTTTCCTGCAGGCTGGTGGTGGGGGCCCCCTACGAGACCAACGGGCAGCAGAAGACGGGAGATGTCTACAAGTGCCCGGTGACCAGCGACAGCCCCAGCAACTGCACCAAGCTCAACCTAGGTACGGAGCACAGGGTGCGGGGGGAGCTGGGCGCCTCTAATGAGCTTCTGCTCGTTGTCACGGCTTTATTCTTTAAAATTCGCCTTGGTGCCTTGCCCAGATTGCTCCCAAAAGCATGGGGACCACACTTCAGGAGGATTTTTTAACAAGTCATTAGCTCAGGTGTTCGTATGACTCCCAGTGCTGGGCTTTAAGCATCGACAGGGTAAAATGAGGCAAATCAGGCAAGAGTAAAAAAAAGTGATTTATTTAAAGGAGCTTAAAGTATTCGGTTTATTCGATCAGGACGGAGTTAGCAGAGTTACCCCACTATCAAACACCTGATAATGTGTCATGGAGTTTGTGGTCCCACTAGGGGATGCTCAGGGGGTGCAGGCACCCCGGCAGGAGGCAAGTTTCGCCTCCAGCCCCATCCTGCCCAGCTACTGGGGGAACTGGTGCCCAGCTCCACCACCCCCAGGACCCTTCCATGGCAGGAGGAGAGATCTGGGGGGTCTCACACATCCCCAGCCAGCCCCGAGGAGGGGGAAATGCCTGGCCCTTTGTCAGGGTTCCTCTGTCTCTGTCTGACAGCGAGGCCAAAGGGGACAAAACCCCACACCCCATGTCAGCGGGGGACGTGGGAGCCGGGGACTTTCCCAGGGTCTCGAGGAGCACTGATGGGGCTCGGGGGCAAAGTCTGGGGAGGTTTCCCGCTGGAGCAGCAGTTCCCACTTTATTTGTCATCATCATTAATCCAAACTCTTCTGGGTCTCTACCAGAGCTGATAAGAGAGGAGGAGCTTTGGCTCATCCGCAGCATTTGATTGATTGGAACCAAATACATCTTTGTTTGAAAGCATTGTGGGTTTGCTGGGCATTTTTTAGTTTTGCTTTGGCTTTTGTTTTGTTTTGTTTTGCAGTGGTGTTTGTTGTTGTTGTTGTTGGGTTTTTTTTTTTGTTTGACTGCTTGGTTTTTGCTGTGAGAACACCAAGATTTTTCCAGGGAATAAATCTCTTTTGTGTGCAAATTTGAGTCTTGCTAAAAAGCGATCTTTTCCCATTGGAAACCGGTTTCAGATGAAAAGATCAGTTCCGTGAGCACACTCTATTTTATTTTATTTTTTATTATCTTGTCTTGTTGGCACAATCCCTTGAGGTCACCTGAATAAAAGCAGGCACAGGGCTGCCCTGTGGGGATGCCAGGTGCCCGTGTGGCCGAGGTGACCATTGTGGCTCTGTCCTGTGCTGCTTGTGCAGAGCAGTCCCAGGAGCCAGAAGGGCTGGCAGAAGCCTCATCCCTATCATCCCCATTGTCCCCATCATTCCCATGGTCCCCATCATCCCTGTCACCCCCACGGTCCCCACCTGGCCATCACCGAGGGTTAAGCATCGCCAGCCGGGGCGGAGGAAGCTTGGGTGCCCTCACGAAGCTGTGCTGGGGGAACGGATGGTTAGGAAGTGTTTTTGCCAGGGCTAAATGCTATTCCCGTTAACCTAAATAAAGGGTGGCCCCGTGGGCCATTTCTGGTTTCTGGACTGTGACATGGGAAATGAGAGAAAGGCACAAACATAAATCAGCCACTAAGTGCGTGCTGGCCTGACAATAAAGGAGGAGATGCTAGAGCTGCTCAGAAGGGTTTCTTTCCTAAGGATTTACTACGTAAGACTCTGTGACTCACAGTCTAATTTCCAGAAGAAATTTCTCTTTGTTGGCTGTGGCAAGAGAAAAAAAAGTCTTATCTTGACAACTGCTGCAAAAACAAAAGGGAAAGCAAAAAAAAACCCCACGGCACCGAGGCGTGCTGCGCCCTGCTAACCAGCTCCTCTCTCCGAAGGAAGAGTCACGCTGTCCAACGTGTCCGAGAGGAAGGACAACATGCGCCTGGGGCTCAGCCTGGCCACCAACCCCAAGGACAGCAGCTTCCTGGTGAGGGCCGAGGGTCCGTGTAGAGGTGCACGCGGACAGTGCGCCCTGCTGTGCATGTTTGGATGGCTGCATGCGGGCACGTCTTTTTCCAGGTCTTTGCCACCCCTCTCTGCTCTTTCAGGGTTTAGCTCTGCCTGGCAGTGATGCTCTGCGCCCCTGCTCTCCCCACCTCCTCCTGCCCAGCCTCTCAGCACCCAGGCAGTGAAAAAGTGGCATTTCCAGGCCCATCCCTGATGCTTTCTTTTTGGTTTTCCCCAGGCCTGCAGCCCGCTCTGGTCCCACGAGTGCGGCAGCTCCTACTACACCACGGGGATGTGCTCCCGCGTCAACGCCAACTTCAGATTCGCCAAGACCGTGGCCCCGGCTCTGCAGAGTAGGAGAAAATCTTATATAGCCTCTAGCCCTCACCCCGAGCTCAAAACTAGCACAAATTTCTGTGCCCTGAGCACTTCGGTACCACTGAGCAAACAAAGCTCCGTCGGTGCTTGCCAGGAGGCGAGATAGCGGAGGAAATTATTGCAGGGAAGTGATTCAATGGGGGTCACAAACGCAGACATCTGGTAAACATTTTCCTTCTGACTGACACTCGGGGAGGACAAAAAATACCTTATTCTCCCCAAAACAGAACAAAAAGCATCCAGAATATTTTATCAGCGCGGCTCGGAAGGAAAAATAGGGGAAGAATTCAGAGCTTGGCCGCGCAAAACAAAGAGCTCATTGACTGGATGCTAAATGTTCTGGCCCAAATTTGTAGATTTGGGGACACGATTAGATTTTGAGGCAATAATAGGAGCTTCCTGGCTTTCCCATGGGTGGTAGGAAACTACAGAGGGCTGCCCTGCACCAGCTTTTGCAAGTGCTCTTTCTCCCCATCCTGGCTTGGGGGAGAATTGGGATTTTTGGGTGGCAGAGGCAGAAAAGGCTCGGGAGCACCACACGGCGCTGAGGGGGGAGCAGGGCCCGGATCCTGCCCGCAGGGGGATGCCCTTTGATGTCCGTAGCTTATGAGGCGGGATAGAGTCCCAAATCTGAATCAGAGCCAGTACCGCGGGGCGTTATTCTTAGAAAGTCATCCAGACTCCTCTTGGCAGAGAGGATGCACGTGGCTTCTGTCTGCCCTATTGCAGCGAATATTGCAGTGAAGGGCTTTAGGAGCGATTGAAGTCAGATTTCTTTTTTTTTTTCCCAACAAATCACAAGAGCAAGTACCTGCCCGCGAGGAATGAGGCCATAAATCCCCCCTTCACAAGCGCTGCCAAGGCCGTTCAATAACGCGCCGCGTATTTTTCACAGGATGCCAGACGTACATGGACATCATCATCGTTCTGGACGGATCAAACAGCATCTACCCTTGGGTTGAAGTTCAGCACTTCCTGATCAACATCTTGAAAAAATTTTACATCGGCCCCGGCCAGATACAAGTAAGCCCGTGCACGGCTCGTGCGTTCCCGTGTCACGTAGATTCCTCCGGCTTTTCCCAAAGTCTCTTTCCTGCCAAAAAGCACCGTAATTTAGCCCTGGGCTTTCTCAAAAGGAACGTCCAACGTATGCCTTCTAAAGCTGAGCCCATGGAAATAATGCTCACATTAATGTCCTTAGATGAGCTACGGGGAGAGCAGCAACCCACACCCCGGCCAGGCATGGGGAGGATGAAATCATATGGAAATTTCGGAGTCTTGCCCTGCAGTCGTGCGCTTGGTTGCGCAGGGATTGTGCTCAGCTCCATGACAAGCAAAGAAAGGGAGGGCAGCTGTGTTCTGGCTGCTCCTGAGTCCTCAGTGTTTTGCACAAATAACCCTGTCCTGTTCTTGTTTGGGGTTTCTGTGGGGCCACAACACAGCATGGACGCATCGTCCTGCACCTGCGTGCCAGGGGGCAACAGCAGGCAGAAAATGGAAAGAGAATTGAGCTGAGAAACTGGCTGAGAAACTGCCGAGTCCCTGTTCCCAGTGGCTTCCTCCTCCGTGGGTGAACACAACTGCAAACACTCTTGGGCCTTGATATTTATTGTCACTGCCAGCCCCAAATGCTGGCAAAATATCACCCAGTTCCTGCTGCGCTTTTACCTCTTTTATTTTTTCCTTTTGCCTGGCCCAATTTTAGGAGGCATCTGTGGCAAACCCCCCTGCAGCAGCTTGCGCACACGCAAAGGGATGCTCGGTCATGCAATGTCGTGGTGCATTTTTTGGGTCGTGGAGCAGGCACCAGGCCAGCAGCGTGCTGCTGCCCGTGGTTTCCAGGCAGCTCACAGCGCCGGGGTGCCCAAAATGCAGCCCTGGTGCTCCTGTGCTGCTGGTGTGAGCTGTCTGTACTCCCCAGGTCGGCGTGGTTCAGTACGGAGAAGACGTGGTCCACGAGTTTCACTTAAATGACTACAGGTCTGTAAAAGACGTGGTGGCGGCTGCCAGTCACATAGAGCAACGAGGAGGCACAGAAACCAGGACTGCCTACGGGATAGAGTTTGCTCGGTAAAAATCTCTCGCGTTCACCCCAACGAGATTGTAGTGACTGTTTTAATTCCCTTCTCCCCCCACCACGCTCCATCCCTCCCTGCTGTTTGCAAGGCAGGGGCTCAGCATGCTTCTCCAAAAATGCCCGGTCCTCATCCAATGCTTTTTAAGGGCTGAACCCCGAGCTGGAGAGGGACTGGGGGTGGGCACAGGAGCGGATCCTGAACGTGTCTCCTCTTTCTGAAAGCCCCCAGAGCTCAGCCCCCAGTGCTGCCCTGCAGCTGCCCCTCTCTTCTCACACCCAGTGGGTACTGGGGTGCCCAGCACAGCCCTGACCCACAGCTCCATCTCCTCATTTACCCAGGGCTAACTCCGTCCCTGCGTATTTTTACCGCAGCCTGACCCATATTCCAGATTTAGCGCATCCCGCCGAGTTAAAGGCTGCTCTCTGCAAAAAGCCAGCTCCACTAGAGGAAAAAACCCATTTACAAAGTCCTAAAGCATTCCCTGAGCATCCCGCACCCCACTGCACCTCCCTGTGTGCCAGCAGCCCCTTAATTCCCCCCCTGTGCTTTGTGACCTGGCCACTGGGGCTCGTGTCCCACCGCAGGGCACGCAGGGCTCCGTGTGACACCTCGGGGACACGGGCGAGCGCGCGGGGGCTGCCACGACCCCGCCGGCGACGCTGAGCAGCCCAGGGCATCTCTTCAATTGCAGCTCGGAAGCGTTTCAGAAAGGTGGCCGGAAAGGGGCAAAGAGAGTAATGATTGTAATCACAGATGGAGAGTCGCACGACAGCCCAGACCTGGAGAAGGTGATCGAGGACAGCGAGAAGGACAACGTCACCAGATACGCGGTGGCGGTGAGTGCCGGGGGTGGGCACCCGAATCACAGCCATCCTTACAGCCCCCCAGGCTGCTCCCATTGCGGGGTACCAGGCACAAAGATTTGGGGTGCTTTGGGGCCGCTTTATCCATCGCGTGGAAACGCCCGACACCTTCCTCTCCCAACCCCAGGTACTGGGTTATTATAACAGAAGAGGGATCAATCCCGAAGCCTTTCTGAACGAGATAAAATTCATAGCGAGCGACCCCGATGACAAGCACTTCTTCAACGTCACCGACGAGGCAGCGCTCAAAGACATCGTGGACGCGCTGGGGGAAAGGATTTTTAGCCTGGAAGGTGAGCGGGGCTCCCCCCTGCCAGATTTGCTGTGCTGGGTCATTTTGGGCATGGTTCGTGCTGGGGGGGGCATGAATATGGAGCTTCCAGTTGATGCACACACCCCAGCACGCACGTTTTGTCTGATAAAAAGCTTTTTTTCCTTTTTCCTTCCACGCTTGTTTGTCTTTAAAACATTTCTCTAAATTTCGTAAGAAAATGGCATATTGGGACAAAGCCTTGAAACAAAAGGTGGAGGGTTTTCACTGAACGCTTGTGTTTGGGGGAATTTGGGTCAAACCAGCCCATAAACTCCCCAGCAGTGATCTCAGCCAGCCCAGCACTCCTGTGGAGGAACATTTCGCTGGGTGAGGAATTTCAGCCAGTTGCAATAATTAAGTGAGATCCTCTGAACCCGCACGTTTATGAGAACCCGCAGTCTGCAGCCAGGACACGAGGCAGCACTCTGACAATTTATTTATTCTGCATTTATTCAGTGGCTCATCAGCAGCACGAGCGTGTGTAGCTGGGGGTATTTAGGGGGGGGCACGGGCACCTTTGTGCTCCAGCAGGGTGGAGGTGGCCCTGCAGCCCAGCCAGAGCCAGGGCTCATCTCCTGGAAAGCTTCCCCTTAACGACAGCGTCTTTGTTTGTTTGTATTTGAAGGAACCAACAAGAACGAAATCTCCTTTGGACTGGAGATGTCCCAGACGGGTTTCTCATCTCACATCGTGGAAGTAAGAGAAGTGACCCCGTTGCTTTGCTCCCGCCTGCGCGTTTGCTGTGGGCGGCTGACCGGTGGAAAACGGGTGGGGAGGGAGTGCAGAGGAGGAGTTCGGGCTGTGAATTCGGGCTGTTCAGCCTATTTTATTTTATTTTATTTTATTTTATTTTATTTTATTTTATTTTATTTTATTTTATTTTATTTTATTTTACTTTATTTTATTATTTTATTTTACTTTACTTTATTTCGTTTTATTTTACTTTATTTTATTTTACTTTATTTTATTTTTTATTTTATTTATTTATTTTATTTTATTTTATTTTATTTTATTTTATTTTATTTTATTTTATTTTATTTTATTTCATTTCATTTCATTTCATTTCATTTCATTTCATTTTAATATTTTATTTTCTGAGAAGGGACCCTCCTCCTGCCCCTTCCTGCAAAACCCATGATTTCTGGGAGGGACCATTCACTGTTCTCCCTCCCCACACCCTGCAGCCCACAGTGGGCACAAGCCCAGGATTAGGGACCCCCGTGAGCATTCCCCCACAAAACCCAGCCCACTGGTTCCTCACCCATTTCATCCTCAGCATGCATCAGCTTCACCCCTACGGGCGATGAGGGCAAGAATTGCTTCCAATAGGAGAAAAACAGCACGAAAAAAAGCCCCAAACCCATCCCCAAGGCCACCTGCAGAGCTTTGGCACGGGATTTTCGGTGCCTTTGCTCTGGCTCTGTGCCGACGGCTGCTGTCCCCCCCCCCAGGATGGGATCCTGCTGGGGGCTGTGGGTGCCTACGACTGGAACGGGGCCGTGCTGAAGGAGACCAGCAGCGGGAAGGTGATCCCACTGCGCGAGTCCTACCTCCAGGAGTTCCCCGAGGAGCTGAAGAACCACGGTGCCTACCTGGGTGAGGGAGCCCCGCCGGGCACAATCGCTGGGATGCGGTCGTGGTTGGGTGCTTAATGTTTGGGTGCTTCATATTAGGGTGCCTAATATTTGGGTGCTTAATATTTGCTTTATATTTAGGTGCTAAATATTTGGGCACGTAATATTTCGGTGCTTAATATTTGCTTTATATTTGGGCTCTTAATATTTGGGTGCGTAACATTTGGATGCTTAATATTTGGGTACTTAATATTTGCTTAATATTTGGGTGCTTCATAATTGGGTGCTTGATATTTGGTTGCTTAATATTTGCTTAATAATTGGGCTCTTAAAATTTGGGCACTTAATATTTGGGTGTTTGATTTTTGATTCATATTTGGGCTCTTAATATTAGGGTGCTTAATATTTGCTTAATATTTGAGTGCTTGATATATGGTTGCTTAATATTTGCTTAGAAATGTGGGTGCTTAGTATTTGGGGGCTTAATATTTGGGCATTTAATATTTGAGCTCTTAATATTTGGGCTCTTAATATTTGGGCTCTTAGTATTTGAACTCTTAGTATTTGGGCGCTTAATATTTGGGCACCTAATATTTGGGTGCTTAATGTTTGATTTATATTTGGGCTCTTAATATTTGGGCGCTTAATAATTGCTTTATATTTGGGCTCTTCATATTTGGGTGTTTCATATTTGGGTGCTGAATATTTGCTTAACATTTGGCCCTGCCCTGCCCCTGGCACCCGGGGAGAGCCCCGCGGCGCCTGCTTCGTGCCGCACAAACACGACTCGAGTGCAGAAGCAGCTCAGACCCCGTCCAGCCCGGGTCATTCGCAGTGCTTACTGGAACAGTTTAAGAAACGCTGATGAAATTTCATGCCTGGGGAGGAAATACCTGCTGTGCTAATCCGTTCCATGTGTGGGAGCCCCGCCGTGAGGATCCCAGGCTGGTTGCAAAACGCAGCCTCTGCCCGGGCTGTGCGTGCCCAGCTGGGCACGGAGCAGGGTTTTGGGGGCTGCGGGGTCACCCCCCGGCACGTGGAGGCTCTTCCCCCTGTGGATGGGGACACAAACAGCCCCAGGTGCTGTTTTGCTTACTGGAAGCAATGGGAAAGACAGGAATGTTAAGAAAGCCCTGGTGCACCCTGCGGCACGGCAGCCCAGCTCCGGGACCTGGGTGCTTCGGGGCTGATGCTCTGCTTAGAAATCTCCTCCCAGGAGGGGAATATAGGGGAAGGCAGAGACTAAGGGACGGTCAGTGCCCAGGGAAAGGGCTCTGGAAGCCCCACCAACCCCTCTCTTACTGAAAACTCAGCTTGGTGTGACCCTGAGGGATCTGATCCAGCTTTAGTGTTGGCCGTGCTTTGAGTGTCTGATAATTTAAGCAGCATTTAAAACCAGCTGCGAATGTGCAGAAGCCTGGAGCTGCCTGCACGTCTGAAAAAGGGGATTTTGCAACCCCAGCATTATATTCCTGCGTAAGCCCACCATGAGCAAGTGGCACAGGGCGATTTTGCATCAGCAAAACCTTCCGTGCGTGATGGTGGGGGTTTTACCTGCATCACTGCATCGCTGGCCCGGCAGCACGGAGGTGACCCCAGGCAGGCTGTGGGATGGGGGGGCGAGCAGGGGGACAGATCCTGCTCACCCCCACCCCCAAAATGCAGGTTACACCGTCTCCTCCGTCGTGTCCACCGCCCGCGAGCGGCTCTACGTTGCGGGAGCACCGCGGTTCAACCACACGGGGAAGGTCATCATCTTCACCATGCACAACAACCGCAACCTCACCATCCACCAGGCGCTGAAGGGCGAGCAGGTAACGCCGGGGCACGGTGCTCGGAGTGTTTGAGGGGCTCAGCAGCACAACCTGCCCACGGTCAGGGATCTCCTGCACCCACGGCTCCAAAGTTTGGGGAAGGAAGGGGTTTGAGCCGTCCTCTCCTGTCTCCCCCCAGATCGGCTCCTACTACGGAAGCGAGATCAACTCCCTGGATGTGAACGGTGATGGTGTCACGGACGTGCTGCTGGTGGGAGCCCCCATGTACTTCAGCGAGGGCAGGGAGAGGGGCAAGGTCTACGTCTACGCCCTGCGAGAGGTACGGGCACACCCGGGCACCACCGCGGGTCCCTGGGGTCCCCTCGCCCACAGCCCCCAGGGTGGGATGCGCAGGGCGATGTTGTCCCCTTCACCAGCACAATGGGGCACAGGTGGGACGTATCATACTGGTTTTCCTGCCTGCTGCTTTGCTGCCCTAAAATCCTAGTAAAAAATGCAGTTTCTGACCCAAATCTGATGGGCCCTGGGGATTCAGGAGCAGCAAGGAGATGGTGCTCAAAATTCAAGGCTGCGCAGGCTGCCCGGCACAGCAGGGATCCCCATATCTAAAGCCAAAATTTCGTGCAATTATTTATGTTGCTCTAAAAGGAAGGCAAAGCAGCCATCAGCATGGGGCTCACCCACACCTCGGCTGAAGGCTCACCCCGTTTCCTTCTCATGAAAGGCTCCGTGGATAGGTGTCAGGATCTTTATTTTACAGGACTCCAAGGGGTTGCTTCTTGTCTGTTTGCCTTTGGGGGTTTTCCTGGCTTTCCAAGCTTGCTGCTGAGTTATTTTTTCCCCTTTTATCCCCCCAGAACCGCTTTGTTTCCAGCGGGGCCCTGGGGGACCTGCAGGGCTACCAGAACTCCCGCTTCGGCTCCTGCATCGCCGCCGTGCCCGACCTCAACCAGGACTCCTACAACGACGTCGTGGTTGGGGCGCCCTTGGAGGACGACCACCAAGGAGCGATATACATCTTCCTCGGCTTCCAGGAGACCGTCCTGAAGAAGTACAAGCAGGTACAGCTCCCGGGGTTTTGGTCGGCCCCATCCTTCACCAACCAAACCCAGCGTGAAGTCGATGTCCGTGGGCACCAGCGCTGTCGGAGGGTGTTTGGTCACAGACTTCCACGGGCCAGGAATTCGTGCTCAGTATTTCCTCCTTGCACAGTCACCAGCTAGCTTCTGTTTTGGTGGGCCCGAGGCAAAACAAGTGTATGGTATGGAAAACATGCTAAAAATTAGGGGAAATGCTTAGTGCTCAACGCAGGGGCTTGCCTTGGATAAAATATTAGAAACACTTGTGAGAAACAGTGAATGTCAGCAGAAATCTTTGGATGGTGTCTCCGAGGGGAAAGTGCTCTCAGTCCCAAAATTAAGTTTGGTGTAATTACTGGGGAAGGGGAACCCAGTAACGTGGCAGGGACTGGCACAGTGACCCTCAGTGTGCCCCTGCTCACGTGTGAAGCCCCCTCCGTGCGGCTGCGGCTGGAGGCCAGCTTCACAGCCTGATGGAAACCAGGCTGGATTATTTTTTTTTTCCCCTTTTTTTGCTTTTTCAGCGGATAGCAGCTGCAGACCTCGGACCAGGCCTGATGTATTTTGGATGCAGCATCCACGGACAGCTGGACATGAACGAAGATGGGCTCGTGGACTTAGCTGTCGGCTCTCTGGGGAACGCCGTGCTGCTCTGGTTAGCTGCGTCTCATTTGGCACTGCCCCTGCCCCAATTTCGTTGCAATTCGCTCACGTTTCCAGGGGAGAAGTAACCTCCCAAAAATCCAACCCATCTTTCCAGAATAACAACCCCTCTCCAAGCAGGGCCAGGGGATTTCAGATGCAGCAGAGCCCTAGCAGGACATCGGGGTTGTTTTGTGCGCAATTTCCTTGTTAGTTCCCCAGGAGCTTCAAAGCAGTGATTTCATCTGTGATGATTCGCTCAGATTCCCTCTCTCCTTACTTAACAAAGCAACTCGGTGTTTTCCAATCTGATTAACATTTTTAAGGCCCCTTGAGGCTGTTAGGACGGAGGTAGCTGCCCCAGCAGAGTTGTGCCACCTGCACCCACCCCGGGGCTGGCTGATGTGGGTGCAAGGGGCCGAATCCTGCCCTCAGTGCTCAGCCTCTTCGCTGCCATAAGCAGGAGGCCAACGCATGCTGGAGAATTTATTCCTCCAAAATTACACAGCCGAGCTGAGGGCAGGTCAGCACCTCGTGGTGGCTTTTGGGAACGGTGTGGAAAGGGCTCCCCTGGAGACGTGGGAGCCTCCCGGGGGCTGCTGAGCCGCGCGTGGGTGCCCCGTGCTGCAGCGACCTCCCGGCCCTCGCTCACCCCCCCAGGTCCCGCAGCGTCGTCCAGATCAACGCCAGCATCCGCTTCGAGCCCTCCAAAATCAACATCTTCACCAAGGACTGCAAGCGGAACGGGAAGGATGCCACCTGCATGTCGGCCTTCATCTGCTTCACCGCCGTCTTCCTCTCGGCCCACTTCCAGACAGCCAGCGTGGGTAAGCAGCGGGGCTGCTGGTGCTGCAAAACCCCCAAATCACTCATTACGGGGCTCTCCAGCCCCGAGGGAGATCCCAGCTCGGGGAACCAGCCAGGAGCTTGGTGTGTTTGGGTTGTGCACACCACCAGCAGCCTCAAACCCTTTTTGCTTCTGGCTAGCATAGTGGGGACCCCGCTCCGCCGCTGCGCCGTGCCAAGGAGCTCCCCAAGGACAAACCCTTGGCAGGGCTCAGCCTCCTCTCACCTCTGTCCCAGGCTTGCCTGGCCATGATGTATGTGACAGCGCTGTTCTCAGCACCTCGCAGCCCCCACGGCAGGGCAGGAGGGGACGTGGCTGTCCCGCAGACCTCCTCCATCCTTCCCGTGCTGCGGGACACATCTGCGGACCAGATGTGCGCCCTGCTGAATGGCTCAGGGGATCTTTACGGCCGGATTGGCCGGCTCTGCTTTGAAAGCCCCGCACGAAGCCGTGACCCTGCGCCCACCCAGGGGGTGCCCGTGGCTCAGCAGGAGGGGACGAGGGCGGCTCGGCCCCCAGGAACCCGGCAGCAATCGCTCTCGCAGGGCGTTCCGGCACGGGAAAAAGCAGGTCACGAGCAGAGCCAAATGTATTCATTTTCACGTGATTTCTACCCAGAAATGCCTCCCTGTGGGCAGCGCTGCTGCCAGCTCTTTGCTTCCCTGCACGTTTTGTGTCACGGTGCTGTGGTGGGTGCAGATTCCTCCTGCTCAGCACCAGCTGGGGACCCTCAGCTGCTGCCCCTGCGCTGCAGGAAGCAAACATCTGCAGCAAAGCCGCGGGGAGAGCACAGCAGTACCTCCAGAAGGGTTACAGGCCAGCACGTGGATATATGAGCCAAATATTTATATATCCTGCACTAATTTTCCTCGGTCTTGAAGTTCCTGGTTTGACCTGGAAAGTGGATGCTTATTCCAAAGAAATTTGGGTTAAAGGCAACAGCAGCCAAATCAAATTTCCCCGCGGCGTGCCCCTGCCCTCCACCCCTAGAGGCATCTCAGCGCCTTGCCAGCAGGACTGGAGTGCACAAAAGCCCAATTTTTAGCCCGGGGTCGGTGCACAGGAGATGTGAGGATGGGGAGAGCCCTGAGCCGCCCTGCTCTCGTTGCAGCGCTGCACTACAATGCCACCATCGACGAGCGGCGGTACACGCCGCGGGCTCTCCTGGACGAGAGCGGGGAGCGGCACGCTCACCAGGCACTGGTGCTGCTGGCGGGGCAGGAGCACTGCGACAGGCTCCACTTCCACGTGCTGGTAAGTGGGGACAGGATGGGATGGGATGGGATGGGACAGGAGCCTCTGCTGCGGGGCTGTGTCTGCCCCAGCGAAGCCGCTCTGCTTGCGCAAAGCAGTGATGCAGTGGGGATGCACCAACAGGGCGCTGGTGGGGGTGTCGATGGCCTCACGTGGCTGGAAACAAGCCTGGGCCATGAGCCTGGATTTATTCACGCTGGGTTTGATGTGGCTGGGGATGGACCGGGGCCGTGGAGCTGCAGCACGGGCTGCATCACACCCCAGCTTGCTCCGTGCGCTCCTCTACAAGCCACTAACCATGCACCACGGACAGCGTGCACTCAGTGCCTGGATCAGACTGGTCCTCCTGCTCCAAAATCTATGAAAATTCATTTTTATTTTCCGTCGGGAGCCACTGCATCCCCGTGCCAGCCCCCGCTGCTCTCATCCTCTGCAGCCCAGACCATCAGGTTCATCTCCCTAAGCGCAGGAGCCAGCAAAACCCTCGGCATGGCTCGTGGGGAACAGCTGATGCACAAACCTGGCCAAAATCAAACATTCCCAGAGAATGATGAGAATTCTTCAGAAGCCAGCGAGGGCTGAGCTGCCAGACTGGCCCGGCCCCAAACCCCAGCCTGAACTGCCATGAACTTCTGGGAAACTCGGTTCTGGAGCCGGAGCCGGGGATTGAGCTCCAGAAGGAGCTCGGTGCAGAGCAGCCCAGCGCACCTCGTGCGTTAGGGGCAAGGCACGGGGGGAGCTGGGAGAGGTCCTGCCCCTTTCAGCCGTGCTCTCTGCCTGTCCCAGGACACGGCTGACTACGTGAAGCCGGTGACGTTCTCCGTCGACTACGAGCTGGAGCACCCCGAGAGCGGCCCCATGCTGGACGACGGCTGGCCCACCTCGCTCAAGGTCTCGGTACGTGCAGCTCCCTCCCCTGGGGGCCTTACCAGGGGCTTTGCAGGGCAGCGGGGGAGGAATCCTTGCTGGCAGCTGGAGCTGAGCAAAATCCACCCAGCAAGGGCAATCCTGCAAAGCTCTTCCAGAGGCTGAGCATCTCTGTTTCTTGTTTCCCTGCCGGGTGGTTTTGCTGTGGGATTTCAGAGCTCTGACTGCCCGGCAGGTGGGGTGCTGCCCTGGGGTCTGCCCTGCCCAGTTTTATGTGGCTTTAAGTGGAGGGAGAAAAGGGGAGCTTAGCTGCTGAAGGCTGGGTGCATATCAGGAGTGATTAGCGTCCCGCAGGGGTGCTGGAAGCTGGAGGGGCTCAGGAACTGTAGAGGACACCAGTGTGCAGAGCTGGAGCTGAAAAGCCAATTTGGGGCTAAGCTTGGTCAATGGGTTTATCTCTGGGGGAACCATCTGCTGCTTTGTCTTGGGGCTGTGACCCCCATCCCTCCTGTGATCACAAGATGTCCAGGACCCCCTGCAGCCTGCGGCTCACGGCCAGGGCACAGAGCATCACCCCGCTGTCTTGTCGTCCCCACCAGGTCCCGTTCTGGAATGGGTGCAACGAGGATGAGCACTGCGTCCCTGACCTGGTCCTCGATGCCCGAAGCGACGTTCCCAGTGCCATGTGAGTGGGTTCCACCAAGCATCCTCCCCCCTGGGCTCCCTAAATCTGGGGCTCTGCAGCCCCAGTGACCACCAGCAGCTGGGACCTGGTCCCCGGGGACAATTCTGCTCCTGCTGCTGGTGGAACAAACTGGTGTCTGGTCAGGGAGCCCACAAAGCTCCTGATATCTGGTGCCGTGGTGATGGGCCCCAAAGACAAATCAGTAAATAACAGGGGACGAAATGCGAGGCTGGCGTTACCCGCCTGGCAGTCGCAGGCTTGACTCACGCAGCAGAAGTAATTACACGCTGGGTCTGATCCCTTAAGGAGCTTTTAAAGGTCATCCCTCAGGAGCACAGGAGCCCGAACCCCTGCCCAGAGCTGGTAGAAGGGTGATTTCTGCTGAGAAAATCACTTTTGGGTTTACTCGTTGGAATAGACACGTTCCCTCAAAACGGCGCCCTGGCTGCTCTGCTCTTAAAGGGAGGAGGCAGCCCTGATGTGAAACCTTTTATAATTTCCTTTCCCCGTATTTTTTATAAATAAAATTAAGGCCCAAGCACTCACCAAGTCTGCAAAATCACTCCGTGTTCTGCCTCTGCAGTCTGTTGGTGAACTTCCCTGGACGGCGATCTCAGCCTGGCTGGAGCTAAATGCTGTCCTCACCCTTTGTCGGTGGCATCAGATCTATTTTATTTTTACTCCTCGGCTGCATTACGGGTGGATAACTTGGTCCCACACAGCTGGACACCATTATTCAAAAAATCAGAAGGAAAATAGCGTTCCTCTCTGGTCCACACGAGGAAGCCGTGATTCCTAAACCCCCCCGGGCAGGGGCAGGGTCCCAGGGGCAGGGTCCGTGCCCGCGTCCCGTGGGATTCACAGCCACCTCCTCCCGCAGGGAGTACTGCAGGAGGGCTCTGCGCCGGGCTGCGCCCGCCTGCTCCTCCTTCAGCCTCTCCTTCGACGCCTCCGTCTTCGTCATCGAGAGCACCAGGAGGAGGGTGGCCGTGGAGGCGACGCTGGAGAACCGCGGCGAGAACGCCTACAGCACCGTGCTCAACATCTCCTTCTCCAGGAACCTCCAGTTCGCCAGCCTCATCCCCAAGGTGCGGCACCGGGGCTGTGCGGGGAGCCCCTGCTCAGCTGGGGAGCCCAAAACCAGAGCCCAAAATTTCTCTGCCCCTCGTAAATTTGGCATGCGTACGGGCTTGGCTCCTGAGCATCCGTGGCCTCTTTATTTTGGAAACACAGAAACGCTTTCATCTTCCGAGCCTGAACTAAGGTCAGATGCAGATGAACCGATTTTCCCCTCTTTATTTTCCTACTCCAACGGTTTAAAAATACTCGCTGCACGTGGCCAAGTTCCCGTCAGGGCTGCATTGCTGCAGCTGAGGTCCACCTCCTGCACACAGGGGCCAGTAGCCACATGGCCAGCGCTGCTCCGTGCCATAGGCACCCTGCCTGGGCACCGCTCCTGCCCCTCGTCCACCCAGCCCTATGCAAACCCTCTCCCAGCGAGGTCTGGGAAAGCTGCTGATGGTGCTGAGCCCCCTCTGGTCCCCCCCAGTGACTTCATACCCGCCGGCGGGTGGCGTGGCCCACGGTTTGTTTTCCTAAGCCCTGTGCCAACAGAAAATTGTGGGGCACGCCGCCCGCAAAGCGAGAGGGGAGTGTTTGGTGATGGGTTCCTCCCAATTAACAGAGGAAGAAAAGCCCACGATGCTAGGTAACAGGGAGAGCAACGCAGCAGCGGTTACCGAAAACATTTTCATCTGGTTGCAGAAGCCTCGTGCTGCCATCAAGCAGCTCGCCAAGCAGAGGGAGCCGGTCGGGAGCAATGGGCAAAAGCTCCCCAGCCCCGCTGGCGAGCTGGAGGGCGTCCCAGCAGCAGGCACCCAATTATTGAGACGAGCTAATTAATTCTTACCCCTTAGCCAGTGGCCCTGCAGAACAACATCTGTAGTTATCTCACGCTTCCCTGTGAGCCGTGATCACAGACAAATCGTCTTCCTGACCACGGTGCCAAGAATAATCAGATTTATTCGTTCATCTCCGTAGCTGAATTTTGGCAGAGGATTTCACTGGGGAGGCTGGAAGGTGTGGGTTAGAGGTGCTGCTCTCCAGGAATGGCCCTGCCAGCCTGCAGGGAGGCTTTTGCTTGCTTGTTTGTGTTCCCCAAAAGTTACTGCCCCTCTCCCGAGGCACAATAGCTGGCTGGCTCCGTGAAGTGTGTGGCTGTGGGGCTGGTGCCCGTGGCCAAACCCCACGTCGTGAACACCCCGCATCCCGTTTCAGGATGACACAGACATCAACATCGACTGCATGAGCGACGAGAAGCACCCCAACAAGCGAGTCTGCAACGTGAGCTACCCCTTCTTCCGAGCGAAAGCCAAGGTAAGGCAGTTCCCCCGAAAACAGCTTCGCTTTGGGAGCCCCAGGTGTGCAGGGGGAGGGGGGTGCCACTTCATTTTCACCAGCGGGACCCAAATTTTCCACTCTGCCTTTCCACTGCGCCTTTTCCTGACTCGGATTAACAAACACAGAGCCACCACGCTCCCCGTGAGATGCCACCTGCCCTCCCCACGTGCCTGCAGGCATCCGCCCGAGCCCCTCGTGATGAAATCTTTCCAACCACCACGTCCGGCCAGAGCCTTCGCCTGTCAGGAGCTCGAAAATGACAGACGAGCTCCAGGCACCTTTCCGGGCTTTAAAGCTCCCAAAAAAAAATAATAAACCCCTCTTGGATGCCTGTGGCCATGTGCGAGGAGGGAGCAGCCCGACTCCCCATGACCTACGGGGGCTGGGAATGCATCTGCGTGGCATCAGGTAGGCCAGGTCCTGCCAAGACAAAGACAAGCTGGAAATGGAAATTTGGCCGGCGAGCAGCAGGAGCGCTAATATTATAATCAGCTGTGCCGTCCCAGACAGTTTGAGGTCATTGCCACGGCTCGCGCAGATGTGACATTTATCACATTTTATTGTTGTTGGCCTCCGTCCCCCGCCAGCGGACCCCGTGCTGCAGATGTGCGGTGCCGGCCCCTCGCTGCCGGTCCCCTGGAGATTTCCCTCTTTTAAGGGGATGCTTTTTTTTTTTTTGTTCTCCAGCCTCAGAGCAAAAAATGCAGCTCGGCGTAGGCAGAGAGCAAATCCTGCGTATCCCCGGCACGGCCTCGCTTCCCACGGGGAGGGCAAGGCTCTGCCCAAAGCCCAGCAGCACCCCCCCGGCTGGCACTTGGGGGTTTTTCCCCCTTAATATTTTCTCCCATCTGTTTCCAACCCCCGCAGGTAGCTTTTCGCCTGGATTTTGAATTCAGCAAGGCAATTTTCCTGCAGAGCATGGAGATCTACCTGACTGCCAACAGGTTCACGCTTGCTTCTTCCCTCTGCTGCCTTCGCACGGGTCTGCAATGTCAGTGGGACATCACCTGCCCTGATCCTGCCACCTTTCCCACTGCAGCCAAGCTGCTGCTGCCTTTCCCCCCCTCTCCATTTGCAGCTGGAGCTGTTTTTCTGGGGGGGCCAGACCCTGCGGTGCTTTGCTTGGTGCTGGGCTTGCTGCTTGCATAGCTGTAGGTGGTGCTGGAGGCATCCAGAAACCCTCCTCAGGGAGTACCCGCATGGAAACCCAATTTCTGTAGGTTATTGCAGAGCCCTGCATTTTTATTTTAGGCTATTTTTATTTACCTGTAGATTATAACCCTCATTTTCCCCTGTGTGGGAGGGCCGGGCAGTGGCTGCCAGGTCCTGCGCTGAGCACAAAGGGTCTCTGGCCACCGCTGCTCCCCGCAGCCACTCGCTCAGCTGCAAATATTCCCAGGAAAAACCTCTCCTAGCAGCCTCGCCAAACCCTCCTCACTCACTCGCCCCGCGCAGGTAAATTTTTCTGACAGCCAAGTGAAACCTCGTTAGGGTTTGTTTCTCGTTTCCATCAATCACCGTGGCAGGGAGCAGCCAAGGGTTTTCTCTGCCGGGGCTGGTGCGCGCGGGACCGCTTTGCTGCTGCTGCTGCGTGTGAAACCTTCCTCCAAAAGCTTGGCTTTTATGGCCTTGGGCTCATAAAAGGGAGTAAGATTGCTTCTCTTTGAGCCTTGGCCATAAAGCAGAAGTTTGGCCCTTCCCCATGTGCTTCCTGCACCCCCCAAAAAAAAATAACCCCCCGGGAGGTGCTCACCCTGTGCTCCGCTGGTGTTTCAGTGACAGCGAGGAGAAGGAGAGCACCAAGGAGGACAACGTCGCCCACCTCAATTTCCACCTCAAGTACGAAGCCGACCTGCTCTTCACCAGGTGAGCAGGGGGACAGGGCTCGGGGGGGGCGAAGGAAGCACAAAAATGGGGGCAAAAAAAAAGAAAAACCGACAGCCAGAAGCAGGGAGGTGCCGCGCGCTTCACGGCACTTGGACACAGGGGTGTTATTAAATAAGGTGTGAGTGCGATTTTTTTTTAAGGGGGAAAATCGACTTTTTGTAGGTATTAATGGTCATAGCATGTGTTAGCAGCCCGTGCCGGGGCTGTAAAGCTGTGTCTGGGCCGGTAGCCACGCCACTTAAAATCATCTCACCAAAAGGACGCAGGGAGGGTGCGCATGGAAGGGGTTTGGGCACCGGCATCAACTAGAGCAGTGTCTGTCCGCTGTCCAGAGCAAGAAGGGAGCTCAGGCACAGACGATAATTTATTAACCCGATTACAAGGAAAAATACGGGCCCAAGCAGCACATTCCCTGGCACTGCTCGCCGTAATTCTTAGCAGGTTTTGGAGACCTTCAGCCACTCTTTTTTATGCGCGAGGCAGCGGGGCACAGAAAATAAAGGCACTTCACTCCATAAATTTTCCATGGGGGGAGGGATTCTCAATTTAATAACTGCCAAAATCACCTTTATGGGAGAAGGGAGAACTTGGAGGAAAGGTAATAGCACAAAAGCCTCAAGTTTGGGCATCCTGGAGAGGAAAAGGGGGAATCGTTTCAAGGAGCCCTGGGGCCCTGTGCCGGGGCAGCTCGCCCATCGGGTGCTCCTGGCTCCTCTCCCCGCTCTCCAGCCTCCAGATATAAATGTGATTTGCCTCCTCTGATTTATGTGAGATTCAAAGCACCGAGCAAGGCCTTGGATGTCTCCGTTATAATAAAAAAAAATCTACAAAGAAGGGGAAAATTCTGCAGAAGAGCATGAAAATCCTCTGTCTTTTTTATGTGAGGCAGAGGCAGGTGATGGTTTCCAGCCCAGAAGCAGCCAGACGGACCCAAGGTCCTCTCCTTGGGGCACTGGCTCTGGGTGGTTTTGGTGGTTTTGGTGGTTTTCAGCTGCTTATCGAGGTGCTGGAGGTGCTGGGGGTGGTGCAAAGGGGCTTTTTCATGCTCTGCTTGCTCCGAGCCCCCATCACGACTTGTCCTCCTCGGTCACAACAGGGCGTCCAGCCTGGACTACTACGAAATCAAATCCAACAGCTCCCTGGAGAGATACGACAGCATCGGCCCCCCCTTCCACTGCACCTTCAAGGTAAAGCAGGGCGATGTCCCGGGCTGGGACGTGGTCACCCTGCCCGTCCCCTGTCCCCCATCCCCGTCCTTTGTCCTCGCAGCTGCAGAACCTGGGCTTCTTCCCCGTGGAGGGGGTGACCATCAAGCTCACCGTCCCCGTGGCCACCAGGGCGGGCAACCGCCTCCTGCTCCTGACCGAATTCGTGGTGGACCAGGTAGGAAGGGGGGGTTTCGGCCCCCAAAAATCCAGGTGGGTCCCTCGGCAGCGGGTGTGGAGGTGGGGAGGGGGGTGCCCCATTCTCTGTAAGCTCCCCTCCCGTGCTCGCAGCGGTGCGGACGCCCCTATTAAAGTCTTGGCTCGTGCCCTGAGCTTCTTCTCTCTGCGTTCACTTGGCTGGAGACGTGGAAAATGGCAGCAGCCAACGGGTTTGGTCCAAGTAGCTCTCCCTGCTGGACCTCCCTCCGGTATGGAATGAATTCGTGAGGGTCTTGAAGGAGCCGGCTGTGCCTGGGGCGCACCGGGGGCTTGAGCGGCTGCAGAAGCAGCGACAGAGCTCGGAGCAGACCCCACACCGTGGTCACCCCCATGTCCCCCCTGCGGGGCCGCGGTGCAGCGATGAGATCCCCAGACATCAGCAAAGCCCCGGGAGGTTTGGGTCCCCCCATCCCATCAGGATGGGTATGGGACACAGGGAGGTGGCACCAGCGTGTCCCTGTCCCCATCCCTGCCTGCTCCTCCCCAGGAGAACACAACCTGCAACGTTTGGGGGAACACCACCGACTACCGCAGCACGCCCACCGAGGAGGACCTGTCCCGCACCCCACTCCTGGTACGTGTCCCATGTGGGCTGATCCCAGCCCCGTGCTGAGCCCTGCCTCCCCAAACCACAGAGAAACCCCATGGAAGGGGTGCCCCACGGGTTGTCCCCTTCTCGGTGGCACAGTGGGGACGTGGGGACGGCACGGAGCCCGCAGGGGTGCTGCTCCAACCTCACCACCTTCCCCCCTTGCAGAACCACAGCAACTCCGACGTCGTTTCCATCGACTGCAATGTGAAACTAGCCCCCAACGAGGAGATGAACCTGCACTTGCGTGGCAATCTGTGGATGAAGTCACTGAAAGCAGTAAGTCCTCGCAAAGCAGACGTGTGGCTTTTGAGAAATACGCCCAAGGAGCCCTCACTTGGTGCAAACCTGTTTGTTTTTATTTTCTCCTGCAATTGTTCTCTCTCCCAGGAAGTCTGGGTATGTGTGGGGTGATTTCTTTCAAACCTTATTTATTCCAACACAGGGAATTTAATCCCAAGCAATCCTTCTTGCTGCAATTAACCACCCTCACTCACTGACCTGCACGATCAACTGGGGCAAAGCCATGGGGGCAGCAGGGGGCACCCAGCCGGGGTTGCTGGGCTCTCTGCCACGCCTGGTGCTCAGCTCCAGCCTCTCTTTGTGCAGCTGAAGTTCAAGTCACTGAAGCTCACCACGAACGCCGCCCTCCAGCGACGCTTCGGGAGCCCCTTCGTCTTCCGCGAGGAGGACCCCAGCCGCCAGGTGAGCCAGGACCAGCCCCCAGGCTGGGAAACCCACAAAAAATGCGGGGCAGGACGGTGCCACGCAGCCCCAGCAGCTCTGGGGAGGCTGCAGCACCGAGCCCTGACCCCGCAGGGCAAAGCCCCGAGGATGGCAGAAGGGCTGGAGCTGGGCACCAGCAACTCCCCAAAATTTCGAGCACCCTCAGCATCCCCACCATCACGTTTCTGTGCTCTTTGCAGATAACATTTGAAATCTCCAAGCCGGAGGAGTCGCAGATCCCCATCTGGATCATCCTGGGGAGCACGTTAGGGGGGCTCCTGCTCCTGGCGCTGCTCGTGCTCGCGCTCTGGAAGGTGAGCAGCCCCTTGGACCAACTATTTTGGGTGGCTGCAGCTCGGCAGAGCCCCCATCTGTGGTGTCCCACGCTGGAGGGACCCCTTACCCCCAGCTCCACACCCACAGCCCCCCAGCACCACCTCATCCTCCTCTCACGGGGGTCCTGGCAAGAAAACAGCTTTGGACCCTCCAGTCCCAGCTCCGGGGATGCTCCATTGGGCATCAAAACCTTCTCCAGCCTCTTTCCACCTCCCCTGTATTAATATCTGGGGCCTGATCTGCCTGACAACACCCCTTGAAAAGCAAGGCACCCCCAGGCTGAAGTAACAGCGGGGTTTTCTCTTCTCTCTGATCCCTACAGCTTGGATTTTTTAAAAGCGGCAGCCGCAGGAGAGAGGCGGAGGAGGAGCAGAGTGCCAAGGTGCTGGAGTGATGCTCCCGGCGGGGCCGGGGGGCTCGGCCCCCTCTCGCCGCCCTCCTCGGCGCTCGCTGCTCAGCGGGAGATGCTCGTCTCGATGCCGAGGGACTTGGGGGCTGAGAGACGAGACGAGAACGCACCCCTTTGTGTGAAATCGCCTAAACAGGTCCAAAACAGACAAACACCAAAAAAAAAAAGACCAACGACACCAAAAAAAAAAATACCAAAAAAAAGAAAAACAAGAAGCAGACAAACCCAGCCCCTATGCCATGGGTTCAAACTGCTTTTAGGACAGCCCTGCCCTAGCAGGGCTGGCAGTGGTGCAGAAGGGACAGGGCAAGCGCGCACCCCATAACCTGGGGTGAACCAGGTGCAGCATCCCCAGGGGACCAATCTTTAGCAATTTCCATTTTTTCATGATTTTTTTTTTTTTTTAATTTCCATAGTGGGGCTGTGTCAAACCCCAGGGCTCCCCTGCCCCAAGGAAGGGGAATCTCTCGGCTGGGGGGAAAAAGAGCAAACTTGGGTGGAAATAATGAATCCGTCCCGAGGGGCTGCGGGGTCTGGGGGGCTCCCACAGGGCACAGCGAAGCCGCAGCTCTCGGACTGCTCAGCACCAGCTACATGGAGCAATCAGCTGGAGGTTTTAATTTGCCTTCTTGATGCACTGAATACGAATAATAGCAAATTAAAGCACCTTAACGCATATCTCCAGCGTCCAGCTGTACATACTTATTCTAGAAATATTTGCCTGTTTAAGCAAAGGAGAAAAAAAAATCAAGAAATCTTTTTTAAAAATCTTTTTAAAAATTCAAAAAAAAAAAAGTTCAAAGTGTTTTCTACAAACTGAGCAGTTTCGAAGAGCTTGCGTCCAGCAAGGGTCCGCACGTGTACTATAAGTGTATATATTTGGTGTCACGCCAAGCCAGATGGTCAGTGCTGTTCGACAAAAATCTTTCTTTTTGCATAACAGAATTATTTATGCTAATATTAATTTTATGAAGGAGAAGAAAGCATATGTCCACCTGATGTGTAATGAAGTGTGTTAAATACTGTCCTAGTATTTTTTAAGGATTAAAAACACGGTATTTTAAAAAAACAAAGAGCCTCTGCTCCCGTTCTCTGCTACCCCAACGCACTCAGGGTGTTGCTCCTACCCCTGGGATGAGGACCACAGGGCTGAGGTTTGCCACTGATTTATTATGGGCTGCAAGGGGGTCTGCAGCCTTCTTTTAAAGGGATGCTGTCAGGTGGGACACGTGGCCAGGGGTTGTAGGGTTTGGAGCCAGCATGTTGCAGAATCAGCCCCACTGATGCTATAAAATGGGGTGGGATAAGGTTTTCTTTGCTGGTATCATCACCTGGGGTGGAAATCCTAAATGGCACAGCTGTGGCTGTCCCTGGGACCGGCTGGGGTGCAGGGCTGCCCCGGAGAGCCAAAATCTGGTGTGGTGCTGGCACCCGCTGCCTTCGCCAAAGTGCTTGAATTTTGCAGCTTAATTTTTCTCCTTTCTTAGGATCCCCCAATTTTCCTACTGAAATCAGTCTAGAGCTTGATTCCTGGGGAAAAAGTCTCACTGCTTTTCAAGGCTTTGCCCAGAAGCATCCCAGACCTTGGTGCCGTGAAAACAGCAGCCACATTAATTGCAATGCAGTCTGAAAAAGAAAAAATAATAATAGCTCAAGATCAGCAATGGCAGGGCCGTATCTTTCAGCAGGCAATGGGCAAGGAAAGCTCCCATGAGAGAAGAAACCCAAGCTCATGGCACCCATGGGTGCTCTGTGACGGGATGGGTGCTGAGTAGGGGGTTTTATTCCCGGGTGTGTGGCTGACGTGCAAGCTGTGTGTTTGTGCACAGGGTGTGAAAATGTGCTCAGATATTTCCCTTGACTTTATCAACACCGAACTGTAACATTAAGCTTCATGTCCAGCTCAGAGCAGCTATTCCTGGCTTGTTTTTCAAGATGTCTTACACCAGGGTGGCTCTGCAATGCCACAAAATAAGCGTGGCAGCAGCAGGGATTTCCTCCCAGGGCTGGAAAAAGCAGGGCCCAGCCCATGCCCTGCCACACGGCCACCCAGCAGCAAGGGCGAGCGTGTGGGGGGCTCTGGGGAGGGAGGGGTGTACGTACACATGGGGGGCACACACACGTACAGAAATACACAGACACCCCTCAGGATCTCCTGATCACAGGAGAGAATGTGCATCACTGAGGGGTGAAGGGGGGGGAGAGAGAGAGTGTAATCTGAAGTCTGAGTGTATTTTATATACATACATATATGTATATATATAAATAAAGCTGTGGGATAGACACACATAGATACAGCACACCCACATCATCTACAATACAGAACACAGCCTCCCCCGTGAATAAGACTGCCCGGAGCTGAAAGCTGTGGAAAACACAGAGATCTAGATATAGCAGTACATGTAGCTATAGATAGCTGTAGCTACAGGAGATACAGCTATAGATATCATATAGATAGATAGATATAGATAGATATAGATACATGTGTAAATGTATGTATGTATGCATGGGATATATCCATGTGTGCATGTGTATACGGGGATATATGGGGGTGTATTTGAATGAATGTGTGCACACGCAGCTAAATATACGTATTTTTATGTGTATGTATGTGTGTATCTAGACATATATGGTGTGTGTATATAAAAATAGGTCTGTGATGTGTGCATCTACCTGTGTATACACAGAGGTGTGTCTGTGTGTGCCTGTGACTCTACCTGTATGTGTGCACCCCCCCTTACACCTCCATACATTTACACCCCTGTTGCCCCCTGCCCAGCAGCCGATGCCCGCAGGCAGAGGCCTGGCCGCTGGGCCTCGCTGGGCACCGCCTGCCCGCGGCAAGAACAAAGTCCCTGTGCAGGCCCAAAATGAGGCATTTTGGTAAAATTTGCGCTAAGAAGTCATCAGCACCCTTTAGAGCTGTTTCTGGCTTGGGTCTCACAAGATTCCCACATGGGGAGGCTGCACCCAGGGGGCCACTTTAAAGCCTCAGTGCCCGTGTTAACATGAGGAGAGGATTTATAATTGCCCAGCTGAGACCTGGTTGGCGCTTACACCCTTGGGGTCTGTGGTTAAAGCTGGTGCCCACCCATTTACACCACTGGGGTCTGTGGTTAAAGCTGGTGCCCACCCATTTACACCACTGGGGTCTGTGGTTAAAGCTGGTGCCCACCCATTTACACCACTGGGGTCTGTCACCGCGCCTCAGGCAGCGCAGGATGGCAGCCAAGCTGCTCTATGCAGTTACTGTGGGTCACCAGGTGTTTTCCCACCCCGTGGCACCTGGGGAAGGTGTGATAAAATGAAATGAGCCCTGCTAAGCCCATTGGAAAGAAACACGTCGCCTCTTTCTCTTCAGTAACCTCCTTAGCTCTGCAAACTGGCACAGCCCGAGGCAGGGCCTGGTCCTGCACCTCCCTCCCTCAGCAAGAATTTGGGCTGGGTGTGGGGAAGGCCTGGCCCCATGTGGTGTCCCCGCTGCACTGGGGTTGAAGCACAGACCCTGCCGACCCCAAAACCTGGGGCTCTCCTTTTGAGGAAAAAAATTAAAAGTGAGGCGCCCACCCAGCCATCGCTGCCGGAGGAGATAGCACACAGCTCCTTTTTCCTGTGCGTCTCACACGGAGCTTTATAAAGAGCTTTAAATAACTCCCACAAAGACAGCAAGGGCACTTTTTCAGCTTTTAATGCTCAATAAAAGAGATTTCCAGACCAAGGAGTGGGAAGGCCCAGGCTGGGGGAGCAGGGCCGGGCTGTGCCGCACCCTGAGGCGCGCACGAGCAGCTTTAACGCCACGCAGCCTCCTGCCTGGCACCGGGACTCGGGCTCTTCCCCTCCCCATAACACTCTTTCCAACCCCCCCGACAAGTTTTATCACTGCTCCTGGTAACAGCACACTCTCTCTTCAGGTCTTCACATACTGAAATCATCCCAGGAACGGCACGAACAAAGCAGAACCTCCAAAAATATCCTGCAATGCAGCCCCGGCAGGAAAGGATCAGACCAAAGCTACGGGAAGGGAGGAAGAAGCAGCCTGTGCACAAGATTGTTCGGTGTAACTTTTTCTTGTTCTTATTAAAAAGCAGAGCTGTGAGAGGAGCAGCTTCCTCGACCTTACTGTTACCTACAGACATTTCAGCATGCATGCTTGTTCCAGGAGCGGTTTTACACAGGTATTTCACAAGAACACAACACCGAGATTATTCCATGTCAGAAACAGGTCCTGAGAAAAACAGTGCAAGGAAATACTGTCTTAATCAACAGCACAGCAACTCGTGGTGATTTCCAGTAGAGCAACCCAGACCGTTTTGTTACACAGCGAGCAGCATCAGTTCCTAAAAGCTTTCAGCCCTCTCCCCACCTCCCACCCCCTTTCCCAGGTCGAATCCATTCAAGGACCACGGGCTCTCATTTTAGCTGTATGCACGTTATCAATTATACATGTGCAAACGTAGAAAGGCAGAGCACGGCATCAAAGCTGGCTTCCAAGCACGTGGCATGGATTAACAGAAGACTTTTTGTGTAGCACACAAACACTGATTCAGGTATTGGGTCATTTTAACCAAGCCAGCCACCAGCAGCATTGCCAAGAGCCAGCTGGTGCCTGCTCGCAAGGTGCTGAAGGAGCAGGGGCAAAGCTTCAGCAGCAGCGGACACAGTCCTCAAGCAGGAGATAAAAGCATTCCCCGCGTCTCGAGGAGCCACAGCGAGTTAAATACGTTTTGCATTTCCACCTGTCAGGCTAAAAATCACCGCGGTAGCTTAAAGCAAAACACAAACTGCAGCTTTCCTGGTTCATCTCAGCATGGGGAAGACATTTGGGGCAGCCCCCTGCAGGAACACGAACCCCTTCCTAACTGTTTGGGAACATCCGCTTATGCTGTAAGGCTCCAGGTGGCTAAGTGTGGCTTTGCCATTTTGCCTGACCTTCAGCTGCAAGTCGTCGTGTCTTTGAAACTTCCAACCTACCTGAGATGTAAGTGACAGACACATTTTCGCTTTAGGAGGCAGCTTCCAGCAGAATAAAGTTTGCAGCTTGGAAGCCGGCGTGTTTCTAAAGCACTTCCCATTCAGGAGACACAACAGCCAAGGCTGACAGCATCCCACAGTCTACACGACACTATTCTTGGCACTAGGCAAAAATTAGAGCTACAGACTAATTCCACATTCAATGTTTATTTATTTGTAATACAAATAGAAACGTGTGCCCAAATCCTGCCTTAAAGTTCTACCCGGATAGTTTAAAAAAAACCTACAGAACATTCTTTCATCTTCTGACAGTTAAAAAGCTGCGTTTAAAATAAACAGAGTTCTCAGTAGCCTGTCAAAACAAGTGACATTTTACTGTTGGAGCATCTGCAACTTCTACCAAGGAGAAGTACTTTCTCAAGCAACGGTTTTAATATACAATCAGTTGCTTATCATAAAAGATCTTATGATAGGACAATTTTTTAAAAATCAGTTTTAATAGAGATTTTCATAATGAAAGGAGTAAAAATCATGAAAAATTCTCCAGTCCAATTCGGGGAGGCACAGACTCCACGCTTGTTGGAAAAACCAGCTTCAAGCAGTATCACGCTCCAAAGGAAGACTCTCTTTGGCGACAGACTACTCCATTAGGAAGATACAGCATTTGGAATCCAGAGTGCACTTTTACATACTTTGAGTCAAAAAAAGGTGCGTGTTGATCATTGGAACAACAAAAACAAGTTGAAAGCATTTTGAAATGTTGGGACACACACAAACACAAATACCCTATAAAATTTCTAGGTATCCATGCATGTTCTTTATATATGAGCAACTTAGCTACGTAAAAAGAAACCATGGTTCTGGTTCGTTTAGATCAATGTGCAAGTTCATTTTTCAAAAGTTATTCCGTATTTACTGTAGCATTGGAAGCGGAGAGCTTGATGTTTCAACTTTTATTAGATGAATACACCACAGCTGAATTTAAACCTGTATTTCCTAACAGAGCATTCCTTACTTCTGTAGCTGTTGATAACTGCTGTTCAAAATTTAATTTAAAAAATAAAATAAAACTCAGATGTTACCAACATCTTCAGCATTAACTGAAAGGCATAAAAAGACGGCGAGGTATGAGAGCAGCGGACTGCTCTGTATGTTGAGACTTCATTTTTAACTACCACGTAATTTCCTTTTTTTTTTAATCCTACCTCACTTCAGGAAGTTTTAAAATTTGTAAAGCCACTGCCTCAGCAGCAGCGTGACAAGGGCTTTCAGAAGTGCCTTTGTGTATAACTACTTAAAGCAATCTTCAGCAGAGACGTGTGTTTGAAACAAAACATTCTGCACCAGTTATATCGGGAATCTTTTCCTTTTGTTTATAAAAACAAGAGATAACAAAACAGTTATTACTTTGTTTAATTAAAAGAAATGACCAAAACCTCCAACACCAGATTTGACTACAGGAAAATTTTGTGGCTTTTTTTTTCCCCCCCGAGATCTGCATGAGAACTGAGGCTGCAGACTGAATCCAAAGGAACCAAAGTGACAGAAGAGAGAAACACAACTCCATGTACACACATATATTCTGTGGTCTGCAACGGATGTCGTGATGGGATAGCACCACCATGAAAGATCTTATGTGGCCTAGTGAAACTTGACAAATTCTTCCAGAGTTCTGGGGATCTGGTTTTGGTAGCTGATGTTATAGATCCGTACTGCTCGGGCAGCCAGGCACTTGAGACTCAGCTTCATTTGAGTTTTAAGGAGTATTTCAGACACCCCCGTTGTACTTTTATCCAGGGGGGTTTTCTTCTGCTTATTCGTCATGTCTGTGTGAGCACCAGCCTCCACCAGGCTAATGATGATGGAATGCAATGTCAAGAAGTCGCTGATGGGCCGGTGGTACTGGACGATGATGTGGAGCGGGCTGTTTCCTTCGTTGTCCACAGCGTTCACATCGGCACCACAATCCAGCAAGAGCTTTGTGACAAGCGCGTTCGGAAAGCTGCAGACGTCATTCGTGTGGAAGTCGTCCACGGGCGTGCTGGAATTGACGGCGTGATGCAGCAAGCTGGAGCCGTCCCGCGTCCTGGGATCAAGATGAATCAGGTTGTAAATCTGCTTGTTGATCCGCGACTGATCCTCCTCGCTGCACTGGGTCTTGGTGGAGATGCAGACTAAGTACAGGAAGGTAAAAATGTTGCATTCGTAGTTGTCCATGGCTGTGTGGATGTCAGCGTCCTGGGTGGTTTTGATCCGGGACATGCCCTGCTCTATTTCCAAGACGCTGCACCTCAGGACACTCTCGATGTCCTTGGCTTTAACGGGCTCGTTTAAGTGAATCATCTGAGAAAAGACTTGGGCAAACCTCAGGAGGTCCTTATGCGTGTTCCTGTTGCCTTTTTGCCTCAGATGCAAGGCATGGAGCCACAGCTTGATACACTGCTCAAACTCCATGTTGTCTGCGTACACAGCCCCCCGGTAAATAATGGGGTGAGACACATCGATATTGTCCGAGCCCAGGATTCTCTCCCGCACAATGAGGCCTTCCATGTGAAGGGCATCTCTGTCCTGCCTTATCGACTCTAATTCCTGAGGAGTTCTGCATTCAGTCCTGTTTCCGTAGGCCTCGATTTGCGGAAGAACCTCCTTCTCGATGATGTTCTCGCTGTCTCTGTACCTCTCCAGCATGGCCAGGTACAGGTAGTGGTAGGTCTTCATGATGTCGTAGTTTTCCCTGTCGTTCGCAAACGAGGCGCCCAGCAGCTCCAGCGCCTCGATCCGGCTCCTCCGGTCACAGTCGGCGTGAGCCAGCAGCAGCTCCACCACGTCGGCCTTGCAGCTCTCAGCGGCCACCTTCAGCGGGGTCATGCCATGCCCGTTGACCATCATCGCCGCCTTCCACTTGACCAGCTCCCTGACGATCTCCAGGTGGCCGGCCTCGGCCGCGAAGTGCAAGGCCGTGGCGCCGCAGTGGGCCTTGGCGTTGGGGTCGGCGTGCTGCTCCAGCAGGTACCTCACCACGTCCGTGTGGCCTTTGTAGGCCGCGATCATGAGGCAGGTGTTGTCGTACTTGTTGGCGATGCTGATGTTGGCGTTGTTCTCCACCAGGTACTTGACGATGTCCAGCCTGCCGTCGAAACACGCAGCCCTCAGGGGAGTGGAGTTGGTCACCGTGGTGTGGTTGACGTTGGCGCCGTGGCTCACCAGCAGCTTGACCACCTCGAAGTGCCCGGCCCCCGCTGCGCACCAGAGAGCTGTCGCTCCATCGATGACAAAGCTGAGAAGGGAAGGGCAGAAAGAAGCCGTCAGAGGGCTGCGCTTTGAGAAGAGCTAGGGATCTCTAAAAGAGAGCCGAGTGCTGTGCCGCAGGCAGGCACCCAGCCACCAGGAGGTATTTTACAGCTACCCTGAATCTAAAAGCGAGGGGACTTGGTGAATTAGCCAACAGGAGCCTTACCCAGCACAGGGACCTCCTCAAGGAAGAAGAGATGGGAGCTGAACTTCAAAGCAGCCCGGGGATTTAGCCACAGCTTGCACTAGTGCTTCCCGGGCTGCTTTGAAGATCCTACCTGCGAGCTCCAGCCCCCAGCCTACAGCAAATTACCACGTCTTTGATCCCCTGTGCCAGAAGCTGGCACGTTAGAGGAACGGATAAAGCTTAAATTCAGCTATTGACAAAGAGACTCCGAACTCGGGCACGGGTAACAGCACAGCTGGGCAATACGCCGGCTGTGGCAGCAAGGCTGGCCCTAGGGATTTCAAATCACTTCTCTGGGTCTCTGCAACTGCCACCCCTTCCGCTGTGCCGACACTTTTTGGTATGAGCGAGCACGCTGCAAACAGGCCGGTGAGCGGGTTAAAAAAGCAGAACTCGAGGAATAAAGTAAAATTCACAAAAGCAGAAGCTATGCGAAGCTGGACAGCCTCGCAGATCTGTTTTACATTACGGCCTTGCAGACAGCTCGCTGGCACTGGTGAATGTGGGGACAGCGAACTTCAGCAAAACCTCACGGCTTCCTGAGCTGGTCCCATTCCCAATCGCAGCGCTGTTACCTACACAGATAAGGCTGATGGCCTTTCCATTCCCCCCAGCCCTTTGAAGTAGCCCTTAAACGCAGAAGCAGGCGGTGCAGCTAATATACATTCAAGGCACATCCCAAGGCGCAGAGGAGGGACAAATATCCGATTTCCTTATGTCCAGAGAGTCACATTTTCCAAAATTAAAATGTCACGGGACACCGACTCAACGTGAAGCTGGGCTGCAATTTTTATCATTTTCCAAAGCCCTCGCGTGGCTGCACAGGAGCAGCTGCCTGGCCGTCTGGAAGCCCAGCACCTCCAGACAACACTTGAAAAGCCGTTTAAGAGCTCTGGCAGGCAGAGATGTCTGCGGAACCAACGTGGCTACCTTTGTTCACTGCAAGAAGTGCCTTATTTTGCACCAATATAACCACATTAAAGTACTTTTGTGCTGAAGCAGTAAGGCAGGATCTAAGGCTCGCTGGCAAACAGAAGGTAATTTATCGGTGTGCTGCAGGTCCGGTTACGAGTCGAAAGCCCGGAGCCCAACCCAGTGGGGTTTCTGTGCCACCTTATCACAAAAATGAAAATCATGCCAAGCATGAGCTGGGATCATGTGCTGCCTTTCTTCTCAGCAGGCTGTGACTCCTACTGAAGCCAGGGAAGAGGTAACGGCACACTGCGCCCATTGTATCCCAAACAACACCTCCTTTAAGCTGTGTCTCTGTCAGGCAGAGGCTCCAGCAAGCAGATCGCCACCCCATTGATGCTCAGCAGGCAAGAAAATTCAGCAGCAGAGGGGGGAAACAGCTCTCCCTGCCTGCTCTGCCAACAGAAGAACTTCCCTTATCTCACATCAGGGCAGGCACCACCCTAGGGAGTCTCAGCCACTTGTTAAAAGAGGGCTGGAAGAGGGAACAGAGAGCCAGAGGGAAGCCAGTTCCTGCCCCTCATTCAGCAAGCAAGAACCAAATCTGTCTCTCCCTGCGTTGGGCGGAGCTGAGCAGACACAGCTACAGCCCGTAAAGCTGGAGCCAGATGAAAGATACCGGGAGGGCCCGGTGTGATCCCGCCCGGTATCTGATGGGAGCTGCACGCAGTCAGCTACCTGCAAAACCTGAAGCTGTTCAGAGGGCCAACAACGTACCTGCGGGCTTAGTCAGCCGTATTTTTAAGCATGACGTAGGGACAACTACTTGGTGAGCGTTGTGGGAGATGTTATAAACAGGAGAGGTAAGGAAGGTCACGGCAGCACAGCTCAGGGAGGTGTGAGCACAACTCTGTGCAGATTTAATGCGAGGATGAGCAGCATTACTCCAAAAACGTGACAGAACAGTGACCGTGCTCGCTTAGTGATGTGCCAAAAAGTTCACAGTGATGCTGTGAGGAGACCAAGATGTGTTTATAACCAGGCTTTTTGCAACAACCTGGCTGCATCTCCCCAAACCAACCCATTCAGAGGGCTCGGCAGCAGTGTCCGTGGCAGAGCAATGCTCATTTCCCCTGCCTTTCACCACCGCTGTTCACCAGAGCTGGGTTTGGGGTTTGTACCAGTGTACCCAGCTCCCTGCATAGCTCCTGCCCTAAAATGCCATGTGTGCCTCCTGGCCACCACCTTTCCCCCTTGGTCACCACCTGTCCCTCCTGGCCACCACCTTTCCCTCCTAGGTGCCACCTTCTCCTCCTGGATGTCACCTTTCCCTCCTGGATGCCACCTTCCCCTACTGCCTATCCCCACAGTGACGGGTGGCGATGAAGAATTGACGCCCCTCACGCACCTCGTGCCCTTCCCTGACCCAGCTGCGGCCAAACCCTCACTTAGTGCCTCCAGAGGCGCAAAACACCACCCCACACCACATGTGACGTCACAGAAAAACCCTTTTGGCCACCAGCCTCACCCTGTGGCACCCAGACCTCCTCACCCAGCCTCATCCCAAAGGCACGCGATGCTCGGGGACGAGGCCGGGCGAGCCACACACGTGTCGTGACCTCCCCAAAAACCCCTCCACCTACCCGTCGAAGCGCACCGTGCCCGTCTGCTGGGTCTGCACGCGGTAGTGCTCGAGGAGCAGCCTCACCACCTTGGCGTGGCCGTTGCGGGCGGCGATGATGAGCGGTGTGGAGCGCTGCCCGCCGTGCTGGCTGACGTAGCCCAGCAGGTACTTGATGTCGCTCTCGGAGCGGTTCAGCAGCAGGGCGGCCAAGGTCAGCACCCTGCCCTCGCTGGCTGCCTTGTAGACGTACCCTGCCAGCCCCTCCATCGCCGCCTCCTTCTCCTCCTCCTCCTCCTTCTCTTTCTTCTTCTCCTCAGCCGCCACCACCCCGGCTCCCTGCTCGGGCTGCGGCTCCGTGCTGCCTCGGGGCACATGCGGCCCGGCCAGCCCCACGCTGAGGGCCGGGAGCCCGGCGGGGCCCGCACCCGCCGCCCTCCGCCTCACCCCAGGCCCATCCCCGGGGCCGATGTCCCCGCCGGGATTCGAACCCGCGACCCCCGGGCTATGGGAAGGGGGTGGGGGGGGGGGGTCCAAGGGACCGGGGGGCAGCGCCGGGAGTGCGGCGGGCACCGGGCGTCCGCGGCCGCTCCGCCCCCGCCGCAGACTCCGGAAGGGGAAGGCGGAAGGGCCGCGGCGAGCACGGCTTTTCCGCGGGCCCTGCCGGCAACAGGAGGCAGCGAACGGGAGTTCCGGGGGCTGCAAGGGCCTAGGGGGGGGTTTGGGGCTGTGCCTCCCCCCCGGGTCCATGCCCAGCCTCTGCGGGGCTCCTCCTGCCCTCCTCAGGCCTGGGATTGGGTTTGGGTTGGGTTTGTTGGCAGTTGGGTTCAGGCTGAATATATTTTTTTATTATTATTCTTTTTGTGTGTTTATTTTTACAGAACAAAGCAGCAGTTTTTACCCACCCGCCTGTGGGCTGCTTGTGCCCGGCCTCAGAGCCTCATCCCCAGATCCAAGTCCTTGCTGTGCAGCCCATCAGTGGTGTGCCCCCGCATTTCCCCTCAGCACATCGAGGCCACCAAGCCAAGACCCCCCAAGCAGCCCCCACCACCAAACCAGGACCCCCCAAGCAGCCCCCACCACCAAGCCAAGACCCCCAGGCAGCCCCTGCCACCAAACTGGGGCTCCCCACCACCAAACTGGGACCCCCAGTAGCCGCCACCACCAAGCCAAGACACCCTGGCAGCCCTCACCACCAAACCGGGACCCTCAGGCAGCCCCCACCACCAAACTGGGGCTCCCCACCACTGTACTGGGACCCCCTGGCAGTCCCCACCACCAAACCAGGACCCCCAGGCAGCCCCCACCACCGAACTGGGGCTCCCCACCACTGTACTGGGACCCCCTGGCAGTCCCCACCACCCACTGCACCCCAAGGTGCTGCTGAGGGCACGTCAAGTAAAGCGACAGGCGACCCCAAGGCAGCCCCAACCACCAAAACGGGGGCTCTCCACCACTACTGGGACCCCCTAGCAGCCCCCACCACACCCCAAGGTGCCGCCGAGGGCACGTCGAGTAAAGCGATAGGCGACCCCCAGCCTGCGCCACCACCTGCCGCGTGCCATTGTGCTGAAGGGGATACGGTGTCGGGCCGTATGAATAGTTAATTTAACGCCGTGCAACCAGAGCCCGGTGGAAAGTCGCGAGGCAGCTGGGCCCCCTGCATTATGCATGGCAGCGCTGGCCGGGCCATCGCCAAAACGAGCGCTGAGGAGATTGGGGGGGCGATGCCGGGCTGGAGGCGGTCAGCGCCGCGGTGTTCAGTCAACGGGGATCAGCTCCTGACAGGCACACGCGGCCCCGAGCTGCAGCCCGACAAGCAGGGTTCACGCTCGGTGTCAGCAGAGCCTGTCTCCATTACATCAGTGATCTCCTCCACTTTGAAGGCTTTTTTTTTTAAGCAACCAAAGCCACGGCTGCCCAAGTGTACAAGAAGGTGCCTGTGATGGAGCACTGCCACCGTCCCTCATGTCCTGCAGCCTTCAGCAGGAATCCCCTCACTCCAAGCTGTTTGGACCAGGTTTGCCAGTGTGGCACCATCTGAAGTTATTATTCTGCAATTACCCTCTCATCTCCGCAGATTTACACCAACAAATAAATAAAAATATGAGTGTTTCAGTGGAATTAGTGCAGTGCAGCCAGTGAGGGGCTGATCCTGAGGTACTCCATGAGCACACGGAGGTACTTCAGGGCCGGTAGTTTTTGTTTCTTTACCCGAGGAGCCCTGAAAGAGTTAAACATTGTGCTTCTCCCCTTCCTCTACTTTAAAAATAGCAAAGATTATCTGAGTGTGCTTTGGATGGGGAAAGCGAGTAAGCCACCCGGCTTTTCCCTGTGGAACAGAGGGACAGACCGTGAGGGGAAGGCCGTGGGCCTGGCGGGTTCCCTGAGCACTGCCCCTCCAAAAAGCTGGGCTCACGGCTCCTCTTCAACTCCTTTCTGCGCCCACCCAGCCCCAGGTGCCGGGGGTCTCTGCGGTCTGCAGGGTGTGGGTGAAAGCTGGGGCAAACACCATGGGAGCGTTGCGAATTATTGTGCTCAGATCCAGGAAATAACAGCACTCGGGGCTTTTCCTCCGCACCGCCCAGCCCCAGCACGAGGCTGCCAAGGAGGAAGAGGGAGCAGGGCGGCATTGGGCACACAGGGTGATGCCCAGCTGGGCTGCTCCACGTTTTGGGGCTGAAATGTGGGGATTTCAGCCCCGGGCCCACACGGCGATGCCCAGCTGGGCTGCTGCCCGTTTTGGGGCTGAACTGTGGGATTTCAGCCCCGGCGCTGATCCTTTTGGGGCAGCGCTGTGTGCAAACGCAGGACAAGTGTCAGTGTGTGTGCTTGGTGCTTACAGTAACAGCGTTAATAAAAACGATAAAAATACGGGAATAGAATAATAAATAAATAAATAAATAAATAAAGGAATAAATAAAGAAGAAGAAAGAAAGAAAAGAATAAAGGAATAAATAAAGGAATGGCACCAAAATAATAAAACGACGAGAAGAGGACTACAGATAATAAAAACACAATTAATGAAAAAAAAAAAAAAAAAAAACAAAAAAAAAAAAAAAACAAGAAATTAAAATAAAATAGCGAAAAATAAAATACTGATCCTCCAAATAATAAATAAATAAATAAATAAAAGAATGGCCCCAAAAATAATAAAATGACGAGAAGAGGACTAAAGAGAATAAAAATACAAGTGATGGAAAAAAATAAGAAATGAAAATAAAACAGTGAAAAATAACATTTTGACCCTCCAAATCGATTCCAGGAGCGGTAACGAAGCCCCTAAAGGCCCCCCCTTGTCCGTCCCCCCCCCCCCCCCCCCAAAGGCCGCGCAGCCGCCGCCCGCCCCCGGCGCCGAGGCGGGGCCCGGGCGGAGCCGCTCCGAGCCGAGCCGGGGCCGGGCCGGGCCGGGCCGGGCTCCCCGGGCTCATGCAGGGCTCGGCGAGGCGGAGGCCGTTCCCGGCGGCTGCCCCGGGCTCCCCGCAGCCCCCCGGGCCGCTCTACCCCGGCAGGTGAGCGGCGGGGACCTGGGGGGGGGGGACGGGGAGAGAGGGGCGGGGATGGGACCGGGACGGTTTTAGGGACGCCGGAGCCCCGCACCCCAGCAGCATCCAGGGGCTCCCCCCGCAGCGTGCCCCAACCCCATCCAGCAGCCTCTGGGGGATCCTGAACCCCCCCAGCTCCCTCAGGACACCCCAGTGTTATCCTGACCCCACACCCGGGTTGGGGTCCCCCCAGCTTCATGCATCTCCCCCCTGCACCCCAAGCCGGGTTAGGGGACCCCATCTCCACCCTGCACCCCTCTAGGATCAATCATTATGGGCTCCCCTCTGATACCCCAGCCCCATCCAGCCCCCCTGTCCCAGCTCATCCTGGGCTCCCTGGGCTCTTATCTTAGGTCCCACCACCTTATCCTGTATCCCCCCACCTTATCCTGGGTCCCCCCACCTTGTCCCAGGTCCCACCGCCTTCCCCGAGATGCTGCAGGTGCCCCAGGGTGTCCCACATTAATGGGGTCTCCAGCCTCGTGCAGGCTCAGCCACGGCTTGCGGAGGGAACCCCGGCTTCTCAAGGCTTTGACAGCTTCTCCCCAGCTCCCTGGGGCCGTTCTGGCTCACCCAGGACATCCCAAATTTTACGGGACGCCACCACCCTGCCCACCCCTCGCTGCAGACCCCATGCTCTCGTAGCACAGCTCCTGGCTGCCTGCTCCCCCTCCGCTCTCAGCACCAGGGTAAAGACGAGGGAGCCGGAGGGCTGCTCGATGGAAAAACTTCCTTGGGGTTGGAGCAGCCCCTGCTCTGCAGAGGTAGAGGACAGCAGGATCTCCAGAGAGGAGGATGAAGGTGACAGCGCATCCTGAGCATCCCCGGGCCCCAGCACCAGCGGGCACGGATACTTTTTTAAGCGTTTGGCAGAAGTGCCCAGGGAGTTTAATTTTGCTTTGTCATGCAAAAGTTAAAAATAGGTGCACTTAATTCAGCACTTAAGCTTCTCATCCTGCCTTTATGCTCCCTTCTCAGCTGGGGAGAGCCTTCTTACGGGGATGCGCCAGCTTTCACTCGTGCTGCTTTGTCTCCTCCTCTCTTTGGAGCCTCAGCTTCGTAAATGTGCCACAGATCTCCAAACATCTGCCAGGACAGCGCAGGTTTTGGGTGGGGACGCAGACCTGGAGCCTGCTCCCTGCCTCCTCAGGGACATGTTGCATGACCCCAGGTATTTGGGCAGTTTCCCCATCCCTTATCTGCTGCACAGAGCCAGCAGGGCTCTGATACACCCAAACGGCTCACCCAAAACACTAACTCTTGACGAAAATCTTGAGGAGAGGGAGAAATAATCGTAGAGGTGCAAAACTGGAGCGATCCCCATCCAGAAAGGGGCGGTGCTGGGCTGACACTGTGACTTTTGTCCCCCTCCAGGCATGGAGCTGGCAAGAATGAGGACAACTTCAAGACCTCCCAGTTTCACCTCGATCTCTGGTTCTACTTCACGCTGCAGAACTGGGTGCTGGACTTCGGCCGTCCCATTGCTATGGTGAGCGTGGCGAGGGCAGGCCCGCTGCTTTGCTGGCCTCGCACTCGTTTGGGGTGGCCCAGAACTTCCCCTGCAGAGGGGTGAGATGATTTCTGCACCCAGGGGCACACCCTGGAGGAGCTGTCCTTGAAACGAGGACCACCACGAGGTGTTGGTTTGGGGTTCCAGGCACAGGGAAGGTATCTGGGAAACATGGTTCGGCAGCGCCTGTCCCACAAATTCACATTTTCATAGCATAAATGTTACCTGGAGAGGTTTCTGCTGCTCTTCCCTGTACCTGGACAGCCTGAGCCTGGGGCTGCTGCTGTCCAACTGGTGCATGGCAGGACAAAAGTGGTCTGTGCCCTCAGAAACGTGAGGTTGTTTTTTCCTGCTGACACCTGAATGTGACAGCACCGTAGCAGAGATCCGCTGCTGTCGGATTCCCCGCTGCTTTCTCACTCGCTGGGCCACACAACATCACAGCCTCAGCTTTTGGCAGCGCTGCAGGAGCGAGGGGTTTAAGTCCACAGCAAAGGTCTTCTCCTTCCCTGTCCTGGAGCTGGTTACGGGGCTCCAGGTGCTTCAAAAGCCAAGCACA